CAAACACGGAAGACGACCTGGCCTCGGTGGAAGTGTTCGCAGCTTTCACCATCGAGCAAATGGCCCATATGGAAAACAATGAGGATTACCTACGAATGAGCAGTCCTTCTGAGCAGCGTCTCGCGTATGCCTCCAAGGCTGCAGCGCTTGTCTCATTTCTAAATTGCTCCCTCCTTAATGAGGAAGTTGCTGACGTGGACACGCTGCTAGGCTGGCTCCAAGAGTCTTTGGGAGAGCCGGAGCAGGTGGACGACCACCTTCTGGCATCCGTCGTTGTCCGATCACTGGCCATTATCTGCCACATTTCTCCATCCTTCACGCCGACAATCAGTCGATTGTTGCCAAAATTCTTGGTCCAGAGTGCTCCCCCCAGTGAAACCGTCGCTGTCGCCTCGAAATCACTGGCGTATGTTTTAAAGTCACTCTCTAAGGACGCCGTCATCAGTACTCTGTACTCTCTTGGCAACATCTTGAGTCCCGAAGCAGAGGCGAGCTTGTCCAATGGCCAGATTAATGGGACTGCTGGGGGCGACGCCAATCTCGCCCCGATGTACGGCAATCGCCAATCAGTCGGCAGCACTATCTCCTTTACAGGATTCGGCGAGGACGGGAGCGTCATGGCGTATGAGTACGTTGTTCACGCTATTTGCTGCATTGCCGAGACTTGTCAAGACGATAAGATCACCGCATTGGCTCAGTCAATGCTTGTACAGAAGTACAACAAGGTCAATCCCGGCGCCGATGTTCACATTATATCCGGAGCAGCGATCCTGGCTCTGAATGGAGGCCAGCTGGAATTCAAATCACTGCTCAAGTGGTACACGCGAACGTGCCACGAGAGCATCGCTGAGAACAAGGATTACCTGAAAGCCGCGGTGCTGAAGGCGCGCGCGTACATATCGGCCAATGTCAGCCGCAACTCGTCGCTGTTTGACATTTATTGGGAGCATTTGTTGGAAACAATCATCTCCTTCGGCGACGCAGGCTATCATGGACACACGAAAGAGGCCGACGTGCAGCTTGCCGCTGAAGAGATTGCCGAGTTGCTGCACCCTGTTGCAGTGTTCATGTCTCGCAATGATTTCGCCGCCGAGCCCGTCGAAAACGACGAACTGGCGCAAATGCTGCGCGATGCCTGGTTCAACATCGTCGTTCACGGGTTTACCACCGCCAGCACCATGGGCAAGCTTTATATCGACGATCTTCGTACCATTGCGGTGCACTCCCCACCGTTGGTCGCTGAGAAGCGTAGCGAGCAGCTTGAGAGTGACATTGAGCTCAACACGGTGCTCAGACGCGGAAACAGTAGCGAGCGCGAGGCTGCCCAGAAGAAGCAGCTGTGCGAACTGATTCCCGCCAAGGCAGGTGACATTAAGGGTCTGAGCTATCGAAAAGTCATCTTTCTACAGTCGGCGTACTTGGTCGAGAGCCTTCGCACAGATGTTGGTGATTGCACCAAAGTGTTGTCGTACTTCTTGGAGCCCAGCATGCGAAAGGGTGATGTGAGCAGTGCCATGGAAGGCATCGCTTCCACGGTGGTTGACAGGTTCGTCAAGAAGACACTCAACGGCACGGACCCAGTGTTCTCTGCGCAGTACGCGGCAAAGCAGCTCGTGGAAATCTTCCGAGGTTGCTGCCATCGCATTGAACGCGTCCAACAAGCTGCGCTGCTGTGCGCTGATCGGATCATCCACGACATCCCTTCAGCTTTATGCAGCCGCACATCCCTCTTTGCTCTCCTCGAACTGCTGTCGTTGATGTGGACTAGTTGTCTTGAGGCCGAGACCGATCTATATGCCCCTCGCGCCGTGTTCAGGTCGCAGCTCGGCGGTGTCACGGTAGAGCTTTCCGACAACTACGAGTTCAGACGCCGGACACTGGACACCCTCAATAAGAAGGCTAAGATCTGGGTCAACACAGCCATCAATCTAGCGCCTCTTGACGTCAAGGGTCTGCTGCAGACATATCTCTCCGAATTCAGCGACGACGGGGCCTACGGCCATATTTCCCTCGGAAGATCCTTCGCGCTGGAACTCGGATCTGTCATTCCATCGACAGATCAGCGACTGCAGTCTCTGGACAGGGTCGGCGACTGCGAGATCAACACTGCTTCGGATCTCATTGCTCAATACACTACTCGCCAGGAATACCGGTATGGAGAGACGTTGCCAGATCGTGGTAACGAATTGATGAGCTTCATGACCCAGGGTCGTAGGCAGTCTATGAGACCTCCCACCCTAGCTGAGAGTGCCAATGCGTCCACCGCGCTTGCTCACGTTGAAGCTCGGATCCTTAGTAAGAAGACGACCTCGCTGAACGAGATCCGGGACATTTTGCGAAGGGCAGCCGCGCTCCTCTGCCGCAGCCATGTCGACGAGTCCGCCGTTGCGCGCTATCTTGTGAGCATTCCATTCGCCCTCTTCACCAAGCAGTCCATGAAGCTGGGAGTGTCTTTGTGGCTTGGGGTCATCAATGAGAACCCACGCCTGGAGTCAAAGCTGGTGAATGAGATTGCGCAGCAGTGGGAGTTCTCCATCACGCGTCGCGTTGGTCTTTTCAATCCTGCTCTGTCGCATCCGGATCCCTTCTTTTTGAAAGAGGAGTTTGCCCCCAGTGAGCTGGAGGCGTTGGCCAAGCGCAAGCAGCTTGTACACGACATGCTGTCGCCCCATGCACGCCTGTTGCAGTTCTTTGCGAGCCACTTCAACGCCACGCGGCTCGGCAGTATCGACACACGAAGGAGTCTTCTACGCATGCTAGACTTGACTCTAGTTGCCCTGACAGACGCGGCCCCCCACCCCATGGCGAGGGAGCTACGTTTCCTTATGATCCTGTTCGGTCTTAGGGTCCTGCGCGCGAGTTCTATGATCGGAGCTGAAGCTCAGTGGCGACTTAAAGACAAGATCCTTTCGGCCGGTCTGAGTTGGTTCAAGCATTCACCAAAGTGGTCCTTTGGTAGCAATCTGCTTCAGCTGCGGACAGAGGTGCGCCTCATCACCGATGTCCTCGCGGGATTGAAGGTGGTGTCGTTCATCGGGGCCAACCTCGTGGGTAGTAGCAAGTCTTTGCAACCCAAGGAGCAGCTCTTCCAACTTCTTCTTGAGAACGAGCAGACTCGCCTGTGCGTCTGGATCAGTCCTTTGTCTGCTTCGGCTTTCCACATGCCCCATCACTCACACAAGTCTGCTGCTGAATCAGCTCTGGCTTCTCAGGTTCGCACTGCATGGGGGCTTGACCCGGCTATTGCGATCGAACTAGCCACGCGGTATCATTCGCCTCGCATCCACAAAGAGATCCGGTCTTTGCTTCTCGCGAATCCTGAACGAGCCGTCAATCTGCCAGAAGCAATACCCCTAATCTTCAATGGCGGATTGCCCAGCGATGCTGCGCCAGCGCTCAAGTACATGCTCTATTGGGAACCGGTCAACCCGATCACGGCCGTGTCCATGTTCACGCCGGGGTACAAAGATCATCCATTCTTGGTCCAGTACGCCATGCGCGCCTTGGAATCCCACAATGTCGATGTGACGTTCTTCTACGTTCCGCAGATTGTGCAGACCCTTCGTTACGATCGCATGGGCTATGCCGAGCGCTACATCTTGGAGACGGCGCAGTTTTCGCAGCTCTTCGCTCACCAAATCATTTGGAACATGAAGGCCAACTCCTACAAGGACGACGATGCGCAGGTGCCCGATGAGATCAAACCTGACCTGGACCGCGTCATGGGGAAGATGGTGGACAGCTTCACTCCATATGACCGAACCTTTTACGAGCGTGAGTTTGCCTTCTTTGACGAAGTGACGGACATCTCTGGCAAGCTCAAGCCGATCCGTGAACGGCCCAAGGACGAGAAGAAGCAGAAGATTGAGGAGGAGCTCCGCAAGATCCAGGTGGATGTCGGTGTCTACCTGCCCAGTAACCCCGAAGGCGTTGTCATTGGGATCGATCGCAAGTCGGGCAAACCTCTACAGAGCCACGCCAAATGCCCCTTTATGGCGACCTTCCGCGTCAAGAAATCTAAGAATGGAGTGGAGGAGACCAACAAGATGCTCGAGGATGTTAACGACGCCCCTCAAGAGGCAGTAGAGAATGGTCTGCCCGCCGAAACCACCATAGAGGCCTGGCAGTCTGCGATCTTCAAGGTCGGCGATGATTGTCGGCAGGACGTTCTGGCCCTGCAGATGATCTCCGCGTTTAGGGGCATCTTCCACAACGTGGGCTTGGACGTATGGGTTTTCCCATACCGCGTCACCGCCACGGGACCTGGCTGCGGTGTCATTGACGTGCTTCCCAACTCCATCTCCCGCGATATGCTCGGCCGCGAGGCCGTCAACAAGCTGTACGACTACTTCGTCTCTAAATACGGCAACGAGGACTCGCTGCGCTTCCAGCAGGCGCGCAACAACTTTGTCAAGTCCATGGCCGCCTACTCGGTCATATCCTTCCTACTGCAGTTCAAGGACCGCCACAACGGCAACATTATGATTGACGACGGCGGTCACATTATCCACATTGACTTTGGCTTCTGCTTCGACATTGCCCCCGGAGGCATCAAGTTTGAGCGAGCGCCGTTCAAGCTGACGCAGGAAATGCTGGCCGTCATGGGCGGCTCCACGGACCACCAGAGCTTCAAGTGGTTCGAGGAGCTGTGCGTCAAGGCCTTCCTCGCCAGCCGCCAGCACTGCGAGAAGCTCTGCCAGATGGTGTCGCTCATGATGGACAGCGGCCTGCCCTGCTTCAAGCCGGAGAGCGTCAAGAACTTCCGGGACCGGTTCGTCCTGGAGAGGAGCGAGCGCGAGGCGGCGGACTTTATGAGGGATCTCATCAAGAAGAGCGCCTCGAGCTACAGCACGGGTGTGTACGACCAGTTTCAGCTTCTTACCAACGGCATCCCCTACTAGTCTAGATACCGGGGTCGTTGATGATACTTGTAATACCTTGACTTTGTTGATGCGTGCATCATAAGTAGAATAGACGCGCAATAACTGCATATAACATTTAATCCATTCGCTTTGGTGCTAGATTGCATGGCTATTCAAAAGACACTCCCCCCGGCGCATGGCAGCTCACGTCACGAAGACGACGACTGTTTGAGCATGTGCGTCGGCGCATTGTAACTCGTATAGTCAACATGCACAAACGCCCTGTCCACAATCGGGACCCCCTCGAGGAAGTACGTCAACACCTCGCTGAGGTCGTGGCTGTCCTTGAGGGGCATGCTGGCGTCCAGCACAATGTCCACCTCGACAAAGAGCTTGTCGCCGGCATGGTAGGCACGCAAGTTCTGGATGCGGCGAATCGCCGTGGCGAAGCGCATGGTGAGGTAGAGCAGCAGGTTGCGCTCGTCAGGCTGGGCGGAGAACCCAGTCAGATTCCGAACGTGATGGGCTGATGTCTTGGACCACTGGAGGATGACAAACAGGGAGAGAAGGAGACCACCTGTTGCGTCTAGCCACCATATGTGCCCGTAGAACCCAACTTTGACCCTGTGTCAGTCTATTCTCATTCTCATTCTTGCACGTGGGCGAACTCACTGATAGGAAAGAGTATAGAGCCAAAGTTGAAAACCATGTCGGTTTTGCAGTCTTCGGCTCTACGAGGAGGGAGAAGAGACGGTTAGCTGAGGGGCCAAGAGCTGAGAAGGGTGGGAGGGCGACTCACAATGCGCGCACGCTAGAATTCTTGACAAGACGGCACCAAAGCCACACAGCGCCTTTGATGACTATGGTGCCTGCCATGATACCAATAGCCGCCGGGCCGAGCTGTAGCACCTTGTGTTCCGGTCCCGCGAGCCGCTGGATGCACTCGAGCAGGACTTGGCAGAAACTGGTGATCATGATGACCGAGAAGACCAAGACACCCACTGGCTCCAAGCGTCGCCGGCCGACGGGATACGTGAACTGGTCCGACTGGCTGGCGAGGATGAGCCGCGTAGTCAGCCAGACAATGGCTGTACTCAGAAAGTCGAGAACGGCGTCGACAAGACTGGCGAGGACAGACATGGAGGGTGTCCATATGACGACGACGAGTTTGGCGGCGAGCAGAACAGCGTTGGCGATAAAGTTGATCCAGATGGCGAGTGTGACGATGGGGCTGTCGCTGTCAAGGTCGGCATCCTCGAGCCACGGGAGATTGGGCTTTGGTCCAGGGGTGGAGGTGGCTGTCCTGGTAGGTGTTACGGGGCCGTGGTCATCATCGCCATCGTCGGTATGCATGAGGAGAGGGAGTGACTCGGAGGAGCGGAAGATGTCCTTTGGCGTGCGTTTCTGGAGAGGCGTGGGGTTTGCGTTGGATGTGTTGGGCGTCGTCGTGCCATAGGAGCCGTTGGCCGGTGGAGAAGTGGCGGTGGGTGGTGATTGCGATGCTGATGTTGATGGCTCATCTTCCAGGATTGTGTCTGGGACGTCGACAGGGCGATAGGCCGAAGCATGGAGCTCGGCCGAGTACTCGTTGAGCAGCTCATGGGGAATGGTCGAGTCCAGCAGACGATCAATGTAGAGGTATTGCTGGATGAGGTCATTTGTCCTCTCATAGTATTTGCGGCTGTCGTTGGTATCAAACGTCAGCCAAGGGGTGAGTGATATCTCGAGGATGTGCTCAGCGCAGTGGAGCAGCACTGGGTCTGACTTACATTGGCTTTGACATGGTAGCGAGATCTTGGTCGCTTTTCCAGTATCTCTCCCATCGGTATCTGGGATTGCTTTTGCCAATAAGGCTCATGCTTCTCTGCTGCGGGCCATGGAGAATCTGGCTGAGGCGGTGCTCGTCATTGAGCAGTCGCCCAATGTCTTCCTCATCATCACGGTTCCAACCAGGACGGGGACCGGCTTCCTCATCCTGCTGCGACTTGGGCCTGTGCAAATTGTTGAGACTGGTCGCAGAGCGGGAGCGAAGAAGCGAGGCAAGATGGCCGCTGCGTGTCGGCAGTGGCGTCGAGTCCTCCGTCAGAATCAGAAAGGATGGTGTTGACGGCCGCCTTGGCCGAGCAGCAGGCGAGCTCATCCTCGCTCAGGACGTTCCAACTGAGGAGACGATGGCAAAGAAGGAACAAGACAAGTCACCACATGCTTCTAGTGCATATTTCCAGGATTGGGACGAAGCGCAAGAGCAAGAGCAAGAGTCGAGAGAGGGCGCGCGACCGCGCTTGGTCGCTTTTGGCAAGGCTGCGTCGATGAGTCGATTGGCCAATGATACTGAGGCAGAGTAGAGAGATGCTCAGGGTCGCGGTCAGTTAGTAGCGGAGACGACCTCCACGGCTGTGGTATTAAAGCAGCAGGAGTCAGGTCTATAAGTCAGTCAGAGCTGTTAGTCAGTATCTCTCGCCAGCCTAAATTTACCGAGAAAGCACTCCCAATTGTCGAGATGTGACTAACAGCTTTGATCAAACAATTGGGACTCTCCCTTGTTGCCGCTTTACTAGACCGTAGTGGAGGAGGTTCGAGAGAAAGATTACGTCAAGCCTTTTCCGTCCGTCCGCTTACTCAGCGGAAGGTTCCTGCCTGGTTACCCTACACGGTCTGGTTCTCCCTTTTTAAGTCAACAGTGTTTTGAACCAAGAAGCGATCATCAACTCGTTGCTTATTTGACGACGGTAGAGATAAAAAAAAATTACGTCTAACGGGATTGGCTCGTTATGAGATTCTTTGTCGTTCTTGCCACTGGTGCGAAGTGGACATTGCATTGATCTTTATTTGCACTCTCGATAAAGATGAAACATTGACGAATTCCCCATTGGATTGTTCACAATGCCACGGTAAGTCAAGCCAGATTGCTAGACATCGAGCTCGTGTATATTTCGCTGGAATTCCCCCTCCTGAAACCCGATCGTAGAAAACAACAAGAGCTTGCGCGATTGTACAGCACCGGGTAATTACGAAGCACAGCATAAGAGGCATGCGAACCCGGATCGCCAGGGAGGCTGATGCTTGTCATTGTCGTCGGATACGAGCGTCAGGGTGGGCGCGGCCACACGCCTCGGATGCAGCCAGTGGCCCGCCGCCCAGTATATAATATAATAATAGGCTGCAATGCAAGGGTGGCTGACGGTACTGCCGGTGGAGCGTGCAGGCATTGTCGACTTGAATATTTTCTTTTCATTTGGATACCTCTGCCAATTTGATCTTGTGAAATGGATGTGTTACCTTGATTGTAATCATCTGTCCGATAAAATCTTCCATCGCACCTATGGTAGCAAGATTTGGAGGGATGCCGCACCGAGCGAGGTTTCCGCCCTGATCTTCATGCATCCCTGTGCGGTGCGAGGTTCAGGCGATCAAAGCCAGGTATGGGCTGCCTCGAACATACCTACGATGACACCAATCCGCCCATAGGTGTGGTGGGTTCCCCTGACGATCAATTTGCTTGTGTCATCACGCATAGACTGTCGCGGCCTTCAACTCTCAGCCTTTGGTCGAGCATGAAAAAAGGGGAAAAAAAAATAAAAAAATTGAATAAAAAAATTGGTGACGAAGATGAGGCCATCCCCAAACCGAAATCGCGAGAAAGTCATGCACAAGCACCATCTGGAACCCGAACCCCGGCCGCCCCCACCGAGATCCATCAGATCCAGGGTCGAGACTACTGTGCGATGGTGGATTTAAGCTTGCTTCGTGTTGTGCTGACGAGGGTGAATGAGCAAAAACATGTGAGAAAAAGGGCAATGGGGTAGATTAGCATCTGAGGACAATGAGATACCTTGATTGTAGGAACATCCGGTAATTAAAAGGGCATCGTGGACGTGCTGCCCTTTGATCACATTGTGCTGAATCTGATCGCTGGCGCCCTGAGCAATTTCGCAGCTCCTCGGCTCGTGTCATAATCCCGGCCGAATGTGGTGATCATTGATCCACATGTGGTCCAGCGACTCGAGTGAGAGTCCAACTGTCCAAATCCAACAATGAGTCCTACGATAGAAGCCGTCAACGCACGCAGGGTTTATTAGACTGGCGGTTGGAATGAGACCTGGGCGTGCTAGAGCCTCGTTGAAATGCTGGACCGCATGCGCCCGTCGTCACGGGGACCAGGAGTCAGGAGTCAGAACTGCTCCCGCCCGCCCGCCCGCTGAGTGGCTCCAGTCCGGCTGTTTGGCGACTGGCGAGACATGGAGCATTGACAATTGCGAGCTGATAGCCTGATACCCACAGGAGCTCCTCAGCGGTGCTGCATCCACATCAGCAACGGGACGGGATGTGGTCGTGGACCTTGAGTTTCTGTTTACATAGAAGCTTCGCACCGTGGAAAGCAGGGGACTGCTGCGTCATTGTGTGAATACATCATCAGTCTGCGAAGAATACCGCGTTCTAAAAATTATCTTCACCCGGCCACACAGCCAGCAGCGCTTTAGAAAGTTTAGGTTCATGCAGTGCCCCATGATTACGAGATCAACGTGGGAGCCCGACCCGGCGTGACATGGGTCCAGCAACTGTCCATGCAGCAGTCCACCCACTGTCCATCCTGGACTCCAGTCCTGTCGGGCATGTCGCTGACTGGAGCATGCCGCTAAGCCCCAGTGGAACGCGCTACTACTGATGATTGTTACAGCACGGGCAATCACAAGCCAAGAGGACATGATGGACTGGACTGGACTGGACTGGACGGGCTGGCCGACTGGACGCTGGGTCATCATCGACCTGAGCGCCTAATTACTGCACTTGCTTGCGCCATTACGCAGATGCAATATCCGACGAAGCTGAGGGATAGATGGATAGAATAATAGGAAGAATCATATTCTCACCCTTGGTTCTGCGCTGCGTTTACCGACCGTTCTGTGCTTGCTGTCCAGTCCTGCGCGAGCGTGTCTTATGCGACTGGAGCCAGGCATACAGTACGTATCTGGTAATTAGTAGCGCTGAAGACCTACCTGAAGTCCCTGACCACCCGCCCCAGGGACTGGAGCCATCCGCCAATCCCCAGTGTCCGGTCCCGTGGCTAGGCCCCGTCCCCATCTTCCACCTTTCAGCTCCATGTCCTGTCCCTTTTCCCTCCTCGCCTCGTAATTACTACCTTACTCACGCACAATCTCCCCGGTCCTGACCAAGTCCGCCCAGCTGGACCACGTTTCACTCGTTATCGACATTCGCTTCATCAGCTGTTGCTGAACTGCTGCTCTGCTGCATTGCCTTGCGTTGTCTTGCTTATTCTGCGTCCCCCTCGGCTTGTGTCAGGCTTGTTTGTCACCCTACTACGTACTCTACAAGCACGAATACGGACCCTCGCCTCAGCCCCAACCCTCTCCTGATCGACAGCGTCTTTTCTCTTGACTCAATCGGCTGTTCTTGCTCGACAGAGATCCTACTTCAGCTCGCCAGACTTTCCGCTCGTTGGAAGGAAAGAGAGCAGTATCACGGATTTTGCGAATCGTACGATCCGAGCGACACCACCGGCATCATCATCATTTCCAGCATCTAGCATTTAATCACTTCTGCATTCGCGGCGACAACATATGCCCTGTCAATATTCCACCGAGGACCAAGGCCCGAACTTAATCTCTCATACTTGCCTCTGGAACTTAATGTGAGTACTTTCACCGCTCCCGGACAACCCTCCAGACGCATTACACTGCACGCACGCAACCATGACCGACGAAAGTCGGCTGTCATGTCTCAGCGTCACCACCTGCCGACCGGTATTGGCTTCCCCTAACCGTCCCTTCACCTGGTGCTATTCTCGACCGCTGGCAGCCCTGGCCATTGAGCTTTGATCAGCTGCCTCTCCCTCACTCTGGTTCCGTGATCTAACCTACGAACACTCCACATACTGAACACTCCACATACTGACTTCTATCCTCTCGTGTAGTCAAGCGTGTTTGTGATTGTAAGACCTTTTGCCATCGATTGTACAGCGGCAACATCATTCTTTCTTCCTCGCTGAGCCCAGCGCGCAGACGCAGCATCATACCCCGAGAAACAGCAACCCGCGTCGAATCGTCACGTAACCACCTTCTATATGCCTAGCAGATTCTCAGCCGCCTTTAGGCGCAAATCAGCAACCAACCCCGAGGACCTCCAGCTTCATTCTTCTGCTACCGAATCGTCATTTCGCGTCCTTGAGCGAGGTCAACCCCAAGAGGGGCGCACCTTTGATGGCGGCGCCAGGATGGCAAGAGCATCGGCTCACATGACACACAAGGTCACCAACTCAGAGTCCGAGGTGGAAGACAACATGTTTGCCGGGCTGAACACCTACAGGTCCGTGAAAACTCTAGGAGTTTCCTGTAACACCACTGACCTAATCAGAGGCAGCGGTGGCTCGAACACCACCAAAGCTACATCCACTGACACTTCCTCCCGGCATAGCAACGCGTCGACCGCACCCTCATCGGCCGACGTAGCCCACCCGAATGACGACCCGCGACCAGCGAAACGAGCAATCACCTCGTACGAGCCGACGCCAAGTCGCCACTCGCAGAAGACTGGCGGCAGTTTCCTGGATCGGGCAGGAAGGACCTTTTCGTTCGGGATGCAAAAGAAGAACCAGACTCCGCCAGTCAAGGAGGACAATGTGCCTGATGTGCCGCCTCTGCCCATGTTGCAACGCGAGGACGAGTACGGGCGGACACGGGCCATGACAGCGTCCACGACCAGCACAGCGACCACAGCGACGCCACCTCGACTTGACGGCAGCAGTGGTCTTGACATGGGGGGAGATTTCGGGTCAATGTTCTCGACATTCGACAAACGAGCGAGTCAGGCCACGTTGCGAAACGATGTACAACGACAGGCGCAACCGGCGCCCTTGAAGATCGGCATCACGAACCCCATCGATATCGACCCTGCGCCCCGATCGTGGAATAGCAACAAGTCCAGTGACGGACTTATGAGCTCGCCAAAGCTTTCACCCTCTCTTGTGCCGCGGCATCAGCCATCTTTCGAATATCGTACGTCAACAAGCCCAGCTGGGGTTGTTGACGACGAAGACGCAAGGCTGCTGGCCGACTCGGTAGCTGCTACCAAGTTCCTGACACAGCCAGCTGCCAAGGGTCGGGGAGGCCGGCGCGCGGAGGATGACGACCGGTTTGCTATCAATCTGCGAGAACCAGTCACTACAGACGAAGGCGAGGACAATCTATTTGCAGGGACGACGACTCGCTTCTCCAGACCAGCACAGAGACCGACGAGGCCCGCAAGTCCACCTCGCGGAAGCAAAGTCATGACCGCGGCCGAATTCGAGCGCTACGAGAAAGAGAAGAATCGTCAGCATCTGGAACGCTCTGTGTACGGTCGATCTGCCGGAGACGAGGACGAGGAGGAGGACGACATCAACTACGATGACGAGGAGGACGCGGAAGAGAAGGCCAAGGAAGCTGCCAAGCGCAGCCGCAACAAGCAGGCGCAAATGCAAGCCTACCGGCAGAAGAACCTGAAGACGACGGGCGGTGACAACGGAAGCGTTTCTCCTCTTTCTTCCAGCCGGCCAACCTTTTCAGCATCCCTGAGTACACCACATCTGGGCATTGCCAAAACGCCATCCCCGGAGCTTGCGCGCCCAGCGCCTGAAGACGACGAGGATGATGAGGTGCCTTTGGCTATTCTCCAGGCCCACGGTTTCCCCCACAAGAACCGTAGCGCGAGCCGCCTGAGCATGGCCGGCTCGAATCCTAATCTGCGTGTCACATCTCAAGCTCAGGACATTCGACCCCAATCTATGGCGGGTGAGCCGTCGGCTTTCAACGCCAAGCGAGCGTCGACTCTGCCGGCATTCGCCCGAGGTCTGCCGCAGGATCCCTTTGCGGGAGCTGGCGCTGCTCGACCAGCCGTGAGGGAGTCTCTTTCCTTTGGAGGTGGCAGTCCCAACCCGGATCGACTCGCTCCCCAAGTACCGCCGCATCAAGCCGTGCACCCGGGTGGTCTCGTTGGTGTCATTGCGAGTGAGGAGCGCGCCCGCGCCATGCGACGTGGGAGTCCCAACATGGAGAGCCAGAGGTTAGCCGGTGGCGGCGGCGCAGGCGGTCAAAACCTGGATCCCATGGCTGGCATCCCGCCCCATATGATGTACGGAGCTGGCCAGCAGAACATGGCTCAGAACAGAATGTCTCAGCAGCCCCTCACGGCTGCAGACCAAGCTCAGGTGCACATGTCGCAGCAAATGACACAGTTCATGCAGATGCAGATGCAGTTTATGCAGATGATGGCGAATAACCAGCCGGGTGGTCAGATGCCGCAGATGCCGATGCCCTATGGCATGCCCCAGATGCCGCAGATGCAACAACACCAGCAGCAGCCATATGGCATGCACGCACCGACGCAGTCGGTTGCAGATTTCTCCTCGGGGCAGTCCACGTATGGCCAGCAGCCGATGCCACCTCGGCGACGAGACGCAGGCTCACGCACGATGAGCATGGTTCAGCCGAACACTGGATCCCAAATGTTGCACGGCGGGATGGGTGGCCCTGTCTTTGGCTACACTCCTTCCATTGCACCATCTGAGCGCAGCAACGTTGGTCTCCCTGGCCGGTACAGGCCGGTGTCTCAGGTTCCACAGTTGGACGTGCCTATTCACCACCGGGCCTCGTCGATTTCCGGTGCCTTGTCGTTGACTCCCACAGAGGACAGCAAGAGCAGGTCGACGTCCACGATCAAGCTGATCAGCAAGACGAAGAACAACGCCGGGTCGGATGACGATGACGAGGAGGGCTGGGAGAGCATGCGAGCCAAGCGCGACCAGAAGAAGTCTCGATGGAGGTTGAGGAGGGGCAATGATCACCAGATTGATTGAAGAATGAAAGAAGGAGACGGATCATACGAAGAGATGGGACACTTGTTTTGAGTACAGCAGTGGGGATCGGCGCTTTTGTCTATGGGTGCCAGTGAACTTGGGGTATACATTGCTAATTGGGTGACGAAGGGAGCATTTGTTTGGATAAAATTATCGTCATCAACATGATAGAGCGCATTCTCAGACATAGACGGCATTGTGGTTGTAATGGCAAAATGAGACACATAATGCGGCGCCTGCGCACCAACATCACCACCCTGCCCTCAGATGAATGTTCCAATTTTTTTCTTATTCAACAACTAGCTGTCTCGTAATTGACGCATTCATCGTCTAGCCCTCAATCTTGCCCGATGCCCACTCTTGCCTCTTGACGCCCATCTCCACGGCCGCCGAGCCCCAATCTTCGCCGTGGTTGTGTCCCTTGCCGTCAATGCCCGCGCGGGCCTTGGCCTGGTCCTCGTTGAGGACAGTCAGGATGCCCAGGATGACCGGGATGCCCGTGTCGAGCTGGGCGCGCATCAGGCCGTGCACGGCGGCCTCGGCAATGTACTCAAAATGCATGGTCTCGCCCTTGATGAGGACGCCGACCGCAATGATGGCGTCAAAAGGACCCGAGGCGGTCGAGGTCACCGAGAGATCGGCTGTCGACGAGGCGAGCAGGTCGGTCGCCGAGGGCGCGCCGGTGGCATTGGACTGGATGGTCGACGCGGAGATGAGGCTAGATTGATCCAACGTTAGCTTCCTTTCCCTAGACCATGTACGTGTTCTCGTAAAGAGAAAGGTGGCACGAACCGCTGGACGGCAATGGGAAGCTCCCAGGACCCGGGGCAGGATTGCGTGACAATGTTCTCCTCCTTGACGCCCGCCTCGAGGAGCTTCTTGCGCGCGCCGGCGACGAGGGGCTCGATGACGGTGGCGTTCCAGCGGGCGTGGACGATGGCGACGCGCAGGCCGGAGCCGTCGTTGTGCTGAGGATTGGGGCCCTTGAGGGACATGATGCGTTGCTTGGCGATCTCGGGTTCTTTGCTTGGGATGGTGGAAAGGTGGTGCTTTGTCAGTCTCGCGAGGGACGCAGCTCGCTGGCAGTGCGTGATGGGTGGTGGGGGTTGCCTGGACGGATCCGGTGACTAGCGGGGTAAGCCAATTAGTGTAGTGCAGGGTAGCACATATGATGCAGGGTTTCTGGGAAAGAGCACCCCTGGAGCGGGCCCTCGATGTCGTCTTCTTGAGAATTGGAGGTTCTTGCACCAGAAACGAGACGATAGGGACGCTCTTTCCTCAGACTAGAAGAACTATCCATTGCTGCCTATTATTACTGTCTTGAAATTTCCAGCTACAATGACAACCTTACTCTCACATCATCTGCGGAATTTTCTCCCGCCATCAGCTTTATCTGTTCCGGATTGAAGACGTTTGCGCCAAGTTGATCACACTTATCCATCCATGCTCTGAATTTTGCACACACAAAGATGCCTATCGCGAAGCTGAATATCGACACCGTGCGCCTACTCGGTTCTTCTGTCACGATCTCAGACCCCCCATCCCTTGTCAAGGAGCTCCTCGACAACGCGATAGATGCCGGCACAACGACTATAGAGGTGCTGATCTCGCCCAACACCGTCGACAGAATCCATGTGCGGGACAATGGCGCCGGTATACCGGCTGAGGACCTCGCGTCACTAGGCAAGAGAGCGCACACGAGCAAGCTACGCTGCTTCGAGGACCTGGTGGGAACACGTACGTTGGGATTCCGCGGAGAGGCACTCGCAAGTGCCAATGCCGTGTCTAAAGGAGGCTTGACGATCACGACAAAGACCGGTGCGGATAGCGTCGCTACGAGAGTGAAGCTCAACCCACGAGGGGGCGGCGTGGCAGAGCAGAAGCCAGTCCCCGCGCCGCAAGGGACCACGGTACTGGTGGAGGGATTGTTCGACAACATTGCAGTCCGTAAGCAGCAGGCCATCAAGGAGAGCCGAAAGGCCCTGGCAAGAACAAGGGACCTGTTGCTGTCTTATGCTTTGGCTAGACCTCATGTGAAGTTGAACCTCAAGGTCCCAGGAGAACCGAAGCAACAATGGTCGTATTCGCCTGGGCCGAACCCCACGGCCAAGCACGCCGTCATGCAGCTTCTGAGCAAAGAAGTGAGCGCGCAGTGTGCGGTTGTCCAGAAGAAGTGGGTTCTTGAAACAGCTGGCTCTACGAAACCGGATGAGCAGCCTACCATCTCTGTCGACGCAGTACTCCCAAGTACAGGTTGTGACGAGGCCGCGATTAGAGGAAAAGGCGCATTCATGTGTATTGACTCACGCCCCATGACGTCTACACGAGGTACCGGTCGCAAAATTAACAGCCTTTTCAAGAGTCATTTCAACAAAGCCATGGGGAGGAGCGTTGCAGCCCCCTTCATGCAGCTTAGTATCCAGTGTACTGTTGGGGCTTACGACCCTAACATTGCCCCCCTGAAGGACGAGGTCCTGTTCACGGACGAGCAGAAAATCCTGGACTGCCTAGAAGAGCTCTGTTCCAACTTTTATAGAGCGTCTTCTTTAGCAGCCGCCCAGGAAAATACAACTGAGTCAACGAACAGCCCCGGCGTTTGCGCACCATCAGCTTCTCAAGTTTCAGGTACAAGCGATCTTCAACAGGATCCATGTGAACATTTCGACGCGGAATTCAATAACTTGTTTGGCAATGAAACGCTGGTCGATACTGAAGGGGAGGCCGAGCTTCTGCGTCTACTGGATATTGAGCCACCAGCGAGCCTGACGGAAAAATCACAGAGCAGAGAGTCGCTTATCAGTACGCCGGATCAGCCAGCGGAAAGTCGCGGAACCAGCCAAGATGACCTCTCAGCACTCCCAGAAGCCTTGAGTCAAGAGGACAATGTCACAGCAGATGCTTGTGATGTTGTGGAATCAATTGAGGCCGTGTCGGCGGAGATGCGAGTGAGCTCCAAGGTCAACATGGCCCGGAACATCAGCGATGCGACGGACGAGGAATGCCTGGTCGACGTGCAATCCGTCCGAGTGCCAGCAGTTCCTGTTCAGGGTAAAGCGTGTAAGATGAGCATGGGAAAGACCAAAACGCAACCAAGAATAGCGGCTCAGACTGAAGGTATCCATCGATACTTCAAGTCGAGCAGCCAACCGAGCTTTCACATTGCAACTAATGATACGGCAACGGAAGATCAAGAACTACATTCTGGCGTGGGTTCTGTCCAGACTCAAAGTGATTATCAAAATCGCCATGCTCTTCAGCCACTGCAATCTACGCGGTCCAATGAATTACCCGAAGAGAGCGACGAGGCCATGAGCCCGGACATGGATTTGGATACCCTGCTACAGCCTTCCGCACCGCCGGGAGATCTACAGCTTCCACCCAACAGGACGATGACCTTGGGCGCGGCCACTCCCGGTGCTGCAAGAAACCGCGGCTCTGCAAGAAAATCAGGGGCCAGCTTTTTGCTTCCCACCCCACAAACGCCTCGCCCTCAACGGGAGCGCCCGAATCGACGCGAGATACCCGCATCCATGAGCCCGCCACTTTCTCTCGCTGAATCGCCTTCAATGCAGACACCGCCAGCAACGGCGTACAGACCTTATGATGCTGCGGCGTACAGCCCAGCTTATAGAGCGCCAAGTCTAGCCCTTGATGGCTCTAGGCCACGCAACGAGCGAAGTGTGAGCTCCGATCTGTTCGTGAGGTCCGTTTCACCTCCACAGAGAGTCAGAGTTTCGGTGCCAGCAAGACGTGACGAGTTGGCGCGTCCGCGCCCCAGCGAAGATAAGCTTTTCGGCGGCCATGGGTTCTCAGGGTCCTCCCACACAGATAAATTTGGCAGCGTCCGCTCTTCTCAACCTGCTAGCGGCTAGCATCCGTTTGGCCCGGTTCATCCGCCGACTGCAAGCAAAAAGAACAATCCATCGACAACAGGGGCTTTTGGTGCAACCATGGCGACATCGAGCGAGGATGAACGCGCCGCGGGAGGTGCATGGTCACACAATACGCAAAACCTCTTGATGAGAACACCCGGCCCAGAACGTGAAGTAGAGGCCCAGCGCGGCTTGGCTGACGAAATGGACATCGACCGCGAACCTTGCCAACAGGGGCGCAAGAGATATTGTGATGCGGCGTTCGACATCGACGAGCACAGCCTCGAGCAGAAGAGACAGCGGGCCAAGGAGCCCCAGAAAACTACCTATAACGCGCAAGACCACGGAAGTCATCAGCAAGTGTACTTTGAGACGGATACAGATCCAGCCACGGCACTCGTTCCCTCCCTGAGGAGAAGGGACACACCTCGTAGCGAGAGACCGGAATCACTGCGCGACGCATATCAACGCCAACGATTGGGGAATGCATCGCACCATCAGGGGGCACAGTCTCCAGTTCTCCCCACCACAGCTCGCGTAGAGCAAAACCTGACACCTGGCCTAGGAGAGATGCCGCGGCTGGCGGAGCGGATGGCTTCTGAGCGGCTGCCGCTCGAGTCTTTGTGCGAAGCCTCGGGGACATGGCGCCTACAGACAGTAGTCGGGCGAGCGGCAGAAATAATCGAACGGGAAATGGCTGCTTCACTGAACGCCCATGAACGACCAGATGAGTTCGTGAGAGGACGCCATTTGGAATTTGGGGACTACCTGGCGCATAACGATCGATTGTACGAAATCGTTGAAAGGCTCCTGAACGAGTCTCAGGTCGACTGAAGGCATGGATGCATCTTTTGAGAAGCCGCAAAGCATTATACAAGCGCAGGAGCCGACAGGGTTTCTTATGGGAAGTTGGGTCGTACTTGTTTTTTCGGTGCTCGGTGTTTGGGATGATCTTGATGGGAGTGATCTGGCGCGCATAGCTGGGAAACACAGGAAGAAATTGCACTCGCGATGTTGCTACAACCTAATACTAATGCTGATCCTCATTGCACAATACATAAGCCAAAGAGCGTAAATGTGAATCGGACTTTGATGAATCGATGATGGGGGACGTTCTGGACCATTGGTGGGGCCGAGAAGGCGCTGCAGTGCCCAGACATGCCGTGGATCTGCAACCGAAAATAGCAGCATCCGGTGGGGATCAAAGACCTACGTCGTGAGCCCTAGGGTAATCAATCAGGTAGTTCGCGTTGAGTTTCTTCATACATATTCACGTCGTTACGATGATTTGGGGCTGCCACGGCTAGAGAAAATCTGCTTCCGCAATGTTTTGTTTGACGCGTCGTCGTTCGGGCCCAGAACTCGCGCTGATGCTTCTCATTTGAACAAGCCTGAGGGACCAGCGACGGCGCCCCCGAAATACTTGGCCAGGTTTCCAACATACTTTCTGGGCAAGGTGTGGTGTGGCAGTGCGCGACGTGTAGCATAGTATGGTGAGTCGTGACAGTGCAGTGCGCAGAGGCGCGCACGCCAAGTGAAGGGCCTGGCATAAAGGGGATCGCGAGCATCGTTGTTACTGCGTAACGAGTATAAAATTCAATCTACGTATCCGTATACGCGGATTAGATTTGCCCCGTTTAGCTTGTAGTTTGTGCGATTGTGGTCCGTGAGCAGCCCCTGCCTGACAGCAACCACAGTTCGTCTCGTGCCGGGCCGTCGTGGCATCAGCGAGAAGAAGTACGACCCAGGCCAATTTGTCCTTATCGACAGTGTTTTCTTGATGCTTCGATGAGATGCGTAGATCTGAGGTACTGTATCATCAGTTCGAGTGCGAGTCAGAGCTGTAGCTGGAGCTGCCTGCACCTGAAGCTAAGCTGGAGCTGGAGCTGTGTCGAGTCATTGCTCGGGCGTGAATTAAACGGCAATGGCAAGGCAACTAGCGGTAGATGCACAACACTTTGTGTAAGGTATGTGTGAGACAGCCATCAACATGATAGATTGATGTCCAAGACGGTATGGCATCGTGTCTTTGCTGGTGAGGCGCAGTACGGAGCACCTAGGCGTGATAGCAAGCCCAAGTGGGCACCCAGCTGCATCTGGACTGATGAGATCGGGTGGGACTGGACCTGACTGGCCTTCCCAGCAATCGTAATCCAAGTCATGTCATCCTGATTTCCCATTTTCTTTTCCCTTGGCCCTTGGACTGCCTCGCTCACCTCACCACCTTCACTTTATTCTTCTCCCACGCCTAATACCTCTTTCTTTGTGAGGACCCCTTCCGCGCTGCCATTGTTTGGTAGCCAGTCACTCGCTCTCTTGTTTTGCCGCTACTTCGAATTGACAAACGCGCACCCCCAAACGACGATCCCCTCCCTGTCCCCCAACCTTGGAAACGGCCTCTCCTCGTATTCGATTCGATCCCTTGTTTTTCTGTGAACGAGACGCGCGACGACCACCAGTGCCAGATCGCAACCCATGATGCACGTCTGCCCATCGCACCTAGCTGCCTGAGGCCTCTCGCCCCCCTCCCTTTGTGCCTGTGCGAGTACGCGCCTACACGCTGCTGGGGAGATCGCACATTCGTGATGGCGACTGTTCCGCTTGCTGCTGAGCCCTGTTGCCTCCACTGTCCGCGTTGCCAAGATCGACCCAATGTCGTCGCCCCCTCGACAATGACCGAACCGCAAGCACAGCTGCGCAGAACGAATGATGGCCCATCGTCGATGACCGGCTCGCGTCTGGAGTCGGGGCGTCGACAGAGCGACTCGTCGCAGCGAAAACAACGACCGTGGGCAATACCTCTACCTTCAACATTGATATTTTCTATAATACTGGCTTTTTCTGCCATCACACCTATTAAAGCGGTTCAAATACCATTTGAGAACTGCTTGCCCGACTCATATCGACTTAATGATCCACCACCTTTACAATGGAACCCTTTATATGTTGATGCCGTATTCGACACCCAGGATGACAGCCACAATCTCAGGGTAGTTATCTGGGGGAACGTCTCTGGATCACGCACCAATCGTGAATTGCCACCACCCGACAGTCCTTATTGGCGAGACCCTGAGCAGACCGACGGCAAGATCATCCAGAATCCCGAACCGGACGCGGCCAAACCCAAGGCGACGACACTATATTCGCGTGTGAATGTCCTCACGTTTGAGCCATGGAGCCATGTGTCGGACTTTTGCAATGACGGATTGACGAATCTGCAGTGTCCCCTCGGGCCTGTCTTCAACACGAGCAACATGTACGTTTCTGCTGCCCAAGAAACCTGTCATGTCTTGTCGCACGTTGCTAACATGAACCCAGCGATCTGCAAGATCTTCCAGCGGTCAACCTCAGCCACGACTTTTTCGATTCCTACGCCTTTTCCACCTTCTCGACCACGATTCTGATTATTAATGGTGATTCAGCGGCCACCGACATTGGATGCATCTCCGCCAACATCACGCCTGACATGGGAGGCTATGCGCAACTACTTCGATTCCTGCCGCTGCTCATCCTCCTGTTGACCGGCTTTGCCGTCATTTTCGCCGCGATATGGAGCCCTTGGGGCAGCACGGATGTCTTCCACTGGACGTCGAATTATGGCCGAGACGCTGATCTCCTGCGCCTGGTCACGCCTGGTTTCGGCGACTGTCTTCAGTACATCCAGTTCATTGTGCTGACCGGGGGCCTGAGCCTGAACTATCCGGGCTTTTACCAGCCGATTGTCAGCCAGGCTTCCTGGTCATCTCTCATCTTCAACCAGAGCTTTGTGACCAACACCGAGCCCTGGCAAAGCGTCGTGGACGGGATCTATGTGAAGAATGGGACATATGGCCTCGAAGAGATTGGGCAGTTGGTTGGAATTGCGAAACCCGAGGATATCTGGGCCGGTATGATGGTGTGGCTTCTCGTCATCATCGCTGCCGTCTCGGTGTTTGCGCAAATCGGCTTTCTGATTCAGTGGGTGGTCAGGACCCTCTCAGGCACTCCAGAGGAGGATCTTCGGTCGAAGAACGTGCCTTTCTCCGTCGGCAACGTCATTCGCATCGTCTACAACTACTTTTTGCTCCCCATCATCTCACTTTCGGCCTTCCAGCTCGTCATTGCTGAGCGCTCACCAGCTTACACCATTGGGCTGGCCGTTGTCACAATCGTCTTTCTCATTGTGCCTGCGGCCTGGACGCTTCGACTGATCATCAAGACGCGACCCAAGTCTGTTCTCTTTGACGATCTACCCAATGTGCTACGTTACGGCCCACTGTACAACACATACTCGGACCACTCTGCTGCTTTTGCTCTCATCCCAGTTCTGCTGACGTTCATTCGCGGCATTGCCATTGGTGCTGTGCAAGCCAGTGGTATTGCACAGGTCATCTTGCTGGCGATCTGTGAGGTCATTCAGGTTCTCACGATCCACGCCTTTCGACCCTTCAATCCTCCGACATCGATGAACGCGTATCACACAGTATTCTCGACCATGCGCTTCTTTACCGTCATGCTCATGGTCGCCTTTGCGCCCAATCTCGGCGTCACCGATGGACCAAAGGGGTGGATCGGATATGTGATTCTCCTGCTTCATGCGGTGGTTCTGGTTCTGGGCTTTTTCATCAACGCCCTCCAGACAATCGTCGAGGTTGTCGCATTGATGCTCGGTGCAGGGGGCGACGACGACCGTGGCCTTACAAGAGGGGGCCTGTCCAAGATCTTTGGTATGCGCCAGCTCGCTCGTCGCGGGACGCCAAGGAACGGCCCGTCACGCGCAAGTCAACTATCGACTTCAGCCATGTTGGACATGGAGGATGGTACCAAGACGGGATACTCAATGCCCAGCGGGCGCGTGCGAAGCTCCTCTGGGGCCAGCCTCGGTGGCATGCTGGGCCCTCCACGCCAGCGAGACAGTTCCGTCTTGGACAGCGTCGACATGTACTCAGCAGGGCATGGTCGTGCGCACCGACATGTCGACAGCGGCAGCTCGGTGGCGTTGGATACGCCCGGCGGCACAACGTCGATATTTTCTTTCCTCACCTCGCCGACTGCGGCTCGATCACAGAACCCGGGCTTACATATTGAGGCGGCCGATCCTTATTATCGACCGCCCCGCAGGCGGCAGGGTACGCTCAGCACCGAGCTAGAAAACCCAACGGCTGCATATGATGCGGCAGCCGGCGACACAGCCCGTACGATGGCGCCTCCTGGTGCGTCAGGCGAAGAAGCAGAGGGTGCGGCCGCTGCAGGGGCCGGCGGTGGCGCTGTAACAGGTCTTGGCATTGGAGCTGATATTTCACGGAATCCGACGCCTGCACCAGGTGCTGCTAACCCTGCAAACGCCCTCCCCAACCGGCCAGACTACTCAACACGCGAGGTCGACTTTTACTATGGCGTACGCGGGCCCGCGCTCAACTCCGATGGACCTGGTCGGAAATTGGGGACTGGCCCCGCCGATCCAACGGGTCCCGTGGCCACGGCTACTGGCTGGTTCAGGGGACTCTTGGGTGGTAAGACAAAGGAGAAGGGCAAGGGCTTCGAAGTGGTACGAAGTGCCCGCATGCCACCCGACATGATGGCACGAAATGGGGCCTTTGGCGATGAGACACCCCCAGAAGGTATTCCTGTGGCAATGGGCGTCCTTCGTAACGGACCCATCGACTCGGATGATGACGAGCCCCAGCCTAAAGCATCACCCAAACGCTCCCCGAAGCGTAAACCAGGGGACCTGCTCACAGAGGCCGGAGAGCCAAGGGGTCCGGATGACGACGAACCTGACAGCCCTGTGATGGAGCGTCTCCCACGCGGATCCATGCCTCCCGAACCTCGCGCAGAAACCGAAGCGCGCTCCGATCTCCCGGGGCCTGAAATCCCCCGCAAGAGCTCGAAACGCAACTCTGCGCTGATAGACTCCTCTCGATCTGCGACAACTTCTGCCTCGCGCCCGCGATCCCCGGAGCGCCCGACCCAGTCGCAAGGGCCGCCACTTCTCGCACGACTGCCGTTTGAGCGAACGGCATCGCAGAGACGGCTGTCGTCCCACGCCTCGTCCGACTTCAACATTGACCTCTCGCGCCATCCGAGCTCGCGTCGCACAGGGGAGCGGCCAGCTAGTTTTGGCATGGTGTCGCAGCACAACATCAACCGCGTGGACCCTGAGCTCAAGGAGGCGGACTTGGTCGGGGCATCGGCCGAGGTGGTCGATGAGCGGTCCAGTTCCAGACAAACATGATGCTTTTCTTCGACTGCACCCTCATTCTGTGGCACAGAACTGGGGCTGTTTGCCATGGTATAATACTCGAGGCCCTTGTATCATAGGGGCGTGCATATTTGGGACTTGTTTGGGATTTACATCACTATCTCTGCGATCAGACTTTTGATTTTCATTGCATGGGTTGTTATTATGTACACACACTCACTCGCCATTAGCGACGGCGTAACACCAAAAATGCCTGGGTCGACAATGGGGATGGGAGCTGACTGACTTGGGAATCTTGGGGACAGCAAAGCAAATAGATAATCAGGATATATCGTGGGTAACGGGGGCCAAAGTCCTCGGCTTATGAACAATATGAAATGCATACATTCATTACATCAAAGACGAACAGCATCGCGGCGTGAATAGTCTTGTGTATTCTAATTAATCTTTGTCTATACATATTTTCATTTGACGGCGATGAAGCCTATGCCTGACCTGGCCTTCCTCGCCGCCTTTTTAAGCGCCTGCTCCTCGACATCTGTCCACTTCACACTCAGCTCGTCCCATTTCTTGCCAGGGGTATTGTATTCCTTCTTCCACTGCGCCTGCATCTGCTGCAGCCGGGCCATCTCCCTCGGATCCCCTGAGCCGCTGAACACCATGAAGGCCGTGCACGGCGGCAGGGCTGCGTGAATACGGGCCAAGCGATCGGACACGTCGCGTAGACTTTGCTCCAGTGATGCTGCTTCCGTCTCCGCGCTGACGGGCGGTCCTCCCGTGGTAGAGGCGGCGTCAACACGGTTCCGATTCCACCAGCCCTGTTGCGCCTCGAGGGACCGCATGCGCGCCCAGACAAAGTCCACGCCCCCGCCGTGAATCTCCTTGCCGTCCGGGTCACCGTTCACGGCGCGGATGACGCCCTGCGTGACCTCCTCGTCGTCCTTGCATCCGAGCTGGTATGTCGCGCCGTTGCCCGCGCCGCGCTTCGGGTCGCCCCAGTCGACGGCCGCGCTGGTCTTGCCAACCTCGAGACCGCCGACGGCTTCCTGCCCGCCCTGGGCCTTGTAGGTCGTCCCAGCGCGCGCGAGGCGGCGAAAGAGGTTCTCGCCCTGGGCGTCGCTGGTGCCCCATTGCGGCCCCTTTTCACATTTCTGCTTGGTGAGGTCGAGGCAGGTCTTGGCGTCCTCGACGGAGTTGTGGCCTGCTGCGCCGCCCTTTTGGATTTCGCGCGAAAGGTACTTTTGCGCGAGCCACTTGAGAGAAGACTTGAGTGGCGGTCCGCGGGGGTGGGGGTAGAGGATGGAGGTGTCGACGATGAAGGGGTGGGCGAGCTGCATGGCCTTTGTGTCAGATTCGAGTGAGTGGCCGATGAGGATGGTTCTCGGGTGCAGGATCTCGAGGAGCTTCTGCTGGATATCTCTGAGGGTGGTCGTGACGGGCCGGAGCATCTCCTCGGTGATGCCCGAGAACTGCGTCACGTAGTCGATGATGGGCTTGTCGGGCTTGACGAGCTCGTCTAGGACCACGTCGCCTGCCCAGTTCACGAGACTGATGCGTGTCAGGGAGAATTCTTTCTCGCCGGTCATGCACATCTCGCAGTCCAGGGCGAGCACATCCCGTCCCGCGGTGATGCTGCCCTGCTGAATCTCCTTGTCGGGGACCTCGCCCTCGGAGAGATCGTTGACCTTGGTGATAACCCACCCCTCCGGCGCGGCAAACGTGTCGCGTGCCTCGCCCTCGGGGAGCAATGCTGGGTGGACCAGGTACCCGTTCTCTGTGAGCTGCTCGGCCGTCGCGATGAAGGATGTGATGGGCGTCCTCTCATTTTTCCAGCCATTGGGCTCTCGCGCCGGCTTTACGCCGCCTGCCTTCTTGGGCCCGTCCTTGGGCGTGGGTGCTGTGAGGAATGCAGCCATTGGCGAATGCATCTTGCCATTCTTGTCATCGCCAGGGGTCTTGACCGGCCACAGATGCGGGAAGATGTCTGCGAATGGCTGGAGCGCCTCTGGTAGTCTCTCCTTGGCGAGCTTTCTGGGGTAGTAGTCGTCCGGCGACGTCATAATCTTCTCCTCCTCCTCCCCGCCCTCAGTCTTGTCATTGTACGTGTCGAAATCCACGCTTGCCTTGAACATGGCCTCCTCTAGCCCAGGCACCATGACAGCGACAATCTTGCGGAACTCGGGTCGATGTGAGACGGCCACCCATTGCGGCGCGGGCCCGTCGGCGTAGATGTACGTCACCAGATCGCGCAGGTTGTTAACCGAGATCTTGGCGTTGAGGCGCGCATTCGGCGAGAAGGTGATGCTCGGATAGGAGCCTTTGCCGTGCTTGGGGATTTTCTTGGCCTTCTTGGTGGGTCGCGAGACAGTCTGCCATTCACCCCCGTCAGAGACATCGTCTGGTTTCGAGCGCTTGAGAGAGCCGTCGCTGGATGCTGCGTCGAGGGCCGACGGCGCCTCTGCGAGCATCGCTTCTGCGGATGGTGGTGTCATGGTGTCGCCGTCGTGGGCGGAGGGAATGTTGCGGGATGAAGGGATGTTCTGTGTGCGCTTGGGGCGTTTGCGCACGCCTCGTCCCATGCTAAGTGAGGGAACAGAGGTTAAAGAGGGGGTGCGCGAACGTGGGTGGTCGCTGTAAGGACGTGGTGTCGCTCGCAGTCTCTTCAAATCGAAGTGAGGTTGGAAAAGATACGTACCTTATCTTATCTTATCGCAACTGCCAGGGTCGGTTGTCAGATCTACGAGTCTAGCCTATTCGGGCAGTAGCGTGAAGCCGCTACGTAGTGGAGCATTCCAACGCGACTCTATACGCGTCCCAGGCTTCAAGTTCTCACCCATCTCAACCCTTGTCGGGGGTCTGCCTTTTTCCTTTCTTCGATTTCAATTCAACTTTCTTGATATATAAGAAGGAAGCTGCTCAGTCATAAAGTGCCATACATGGGCTATCAGCCTCCTTGGACTTCACCCATGGATCTCGTCACTGTACGATGTGCCAAATGCGATGCTAAGCTTGGAACAGTTGCCAACCAATGGACAAGGGTTGGAAATTACTACATCACACCATGCGATGAGGAGGGGAGCAATACACTTCGCGATCGGCTCTCATTCAACAAGTCGAGGCAGTCCCGAGCTGGAGGAACGAACTCAATCGCAGAGGGCTGGTAATGGACTCTGGCGCATTATGACAGGAATCTTCTGCTGACCATTACAAGTGAAATACAATTGATGTGTTGTGCGACCTGCCGGTCTGGCTCTCATTTAATCAACACCAATGCGCCTCCAGGTCATGAATTCTTCGCGTAGGTGCACACTCCATATCGAAATCACTCTGACACCATCAGTGGCCAGGTCTTCTTACGACCTCAGGAGGTGGTATTTAAGTCGGCTGCCGACGAACGTCGGGTACTGAAACCAAAAATAATAAGGATATTGCCCATCCAAAAGCAAAAGAGAGAGTCCGACTCGGACGTTGATTCTTCAGACGACCTGGACTCATCCGCCAGCGATCAATTTCGCTCCAGCTTCCACAGTTATGCGCCGAAAAACGTCACCAGTGTAGACATCTTCCAGCTGCAAGATGACGTGGCGGAACAGGAGGAGGCCATCTGTCACATAAACAAAGTCGGCCAGCAGTTTGTGTCCACGTTCAACGGACGACTCCTCGAGGCTCAGGCAGGCATGCGCCAAATGCGCGCCGCGATTGATCTCTTGCAAAAGGACGCCGCCTACCGCGCGAAAGAAATTGCCTCGCTGAAGACCTTTGCACAAAGAAGCGAAACCAATCAGCAGGACCTCCAGGACCAGCTATCTTCCGCTCAACAAGAGATTGTGGCATTGCAGGCGCATAACGAGGCAATGAAGCGGCAGATGGCAGGCGTACGAACCATGGCAGTAGACGGCCTCGAGAAGAGCGACGCACATGCAGAGGAGATAGGCACCCTGAGACAAGAGGTTAAAATGCTTCGCTCTGAGCTGGCAGCCAGCCGCGGGCCCCAACAAATCGTACAGCCAGCGTTTGACGTATGCTCTTCGCACGAAATGAGCGTAATGAGCGATGTCGTTGTTGAGGACGCGCCCCCGAGTCACAAACGCAAGGCAACGCATATCGAAGACGATGAAGACGAGGTCGATCAAGTCTTATATACACCCAAGAGGGCCTTCAGAACAGCTAGGACACCCCCGGATCCTTTGAGCCCTTGCGCTGCCGGCTCTTCTCGCCTGCAGCATTCTGTGCGCACGCCATCACCCACACGGAAATTGGCGAGGTCAGGGGAAACTGGAGAGAGCAAGAAAAGCGAGACTTGGTTTTCATTCAAAAACTCGACCGGTCAGAAACCCAGACCAGCCAGAGCGAGGCATAGCACCGGTGGGTGAAGAAGGAGAATTTGTTCAAAACACTATAAGCTCCGAGATGACCGTTTTGCCGAGGTCAGCCAGCGTATGGACGGGATCAACCACGGCAAACTTGAAGAACGCTCTTGACTGCTCATCCGTCGGATTCTGAATCCAACTCTGGATCAGCGAGACCTCCCTATCCCGGCCGGGAAGCTGGTTTATCTCATAGAGCAACTCATTGGCGTCTTTCGCCAGGTCCCATTCCTGGGCAAAACCCGGCGGCGCAAGTCGAATGACCATCATGAGCAGCATCTGACACAATGCCACTTGATCAATCTCATTCAGCGCTGTCTGCATCGCACTGCCCAAGCCAGTCGGTGCGGGAGACGCAGTGTCAGCCGCCGTGTGCGACAGAAGTTTGGCGATGAAATAGAGCGCTCGCAGCCGCACCGGATAGAAAGCCGCTGGATACCGATGCGGATCACTCGAGGTTGCTACGAGACACGTTATAGCGAGTGCCTGCGGAAAAGAACCGCGCTGAGCTAACGTCGTTGCGACTTCGCTCAGAATGTTCGGTAAGGGGAAAACGGCCCAAAGACCCTTTTCGACGAGGGGATTGCAGCGATGCAGGCGCGACAAGAGAGCCGTGAGATCGTACTGACCGGCGTGGGAGAATTTCGTCAGCGAGCATAGCTCTTCTGATAATTTGCTGGCGGCTCTCGCTGTGTTAGGGTTCGTCACGGCCGGGTGTTGTCTGATGGACGAGGCGCCGAGCGCCAGGCTGAAGATGTCGAGGTCGTTGCCTTCTGTCGCGGCGCAGACTTGATAGACATTGAGGTCCTCCTTGCATCGTGGGCACTGGCAATTAAAATGGTAGCTCTTGAGAGCGGCGGCTCTCATCTTCTTGGGCCATGTGTAGTCTGGGACGATAAGGTCAGCCATGGTATTCTTGAGCGCGTGGTGGGACAAAGCGTACCTGTGTATGAGATCTCAATCTCTTCGCCAGCCTTGATGTCACTCTCTGCGCGAAGAATGATCTTGCGCCCAACCACTTGTACCATGGCATTTGGCGTACAGGAATGGTTCATCATGGCAAAGGTCGGCTCCAGGAAGACGCCAATCTGCCCTGCCTCGTCGTCCGCCCAGTTGAAAGCGTTGGTTTGGATCTTGGATGGTTAGTTGTGCTTGTCAAATATTTGCAAGTAGACTAGCAAACACACCTTTGCAACAATGTCACATGCCCTCTTCACATTCGCCTCTGACGTCTCGAGCCCTGCATACGCCACGCCAGCCATGGCCATCATCTCGATATCCGGGCTCTTGTCTCCACTCCCTCGCAACGTGTCCAGATTCTTCCCCTCGAGAAGACATTGCATGAGCAGACGGACTTGGGTCGGCAGGCTCATTGCGCGCTGCTGGCCCATCTTGGTCAAGGGCTTGCATTCCTTGGCGTGAACGTCCCGCCAGTGGGCACGTTGGCAGCTCTGGTGGCAGTAGTAGGCTGCATGGCATTGTGTGCATGCCTTGGGCGTCCCAGGCGCCAGACAATATGTGCAAAAGGCTTCGAGATGTGGTGTCGTGGGCAGCAGCAGGGTTGGTGCGAGGGCGAGAATTGGTGTGCTGGCGCGATGGGTGTGAACGGACGTGAGGGCGCGGCCTTTGGTGGGCGAGGTCGTTATTTTCACCGCGGAGCTCATAGCGAGGGTGAATGGCTAGGTATAAACTGACTTAAGAATGCGGAAGTTGATGGCAGGTGAAGTAAAGTGAAAACCGATCAGAATGAAGTCGACCGTGTTTTTGGGTGTCAAAATTATGAGGCCAAGCTCGGTCACTTACAAGCAATAATTGCACCACAAACAACCGCGGATCAAACGTATTAATGATGACAGCACGAACAATTCGCATTACATACCAACATATATCTACAATTCTACTTTCTCGTCGCGAGCTGGCTCTTTTCTAGCCTGTGTCTTCCTGGCGTCGGCCAGCCTCCTCGCCAAATCCCCACTCCAGTGGCTGTCGTCGCCCTTGTGGTTCTGGGCAATCTCATTGACTCTGTAGTCCCAGCATCCATCCTCCATCGATCCTTCTTTGCACACCTTGTCCATCTGGACCTTGTCCGCGGGCCACTGCCCGAGAACAGCGCCCATGTCCTCGTCCAAAAAGTTGTCCAGCGCCAGCTGGCCCACTTTTCTCTGTGCCGACGTCCAAGACGGCGTCGTCGGGACAAGAACCTCGAGCAGATACTTCATCATGTCGCTGTCGACAAACTCTTTCCGGAGCTCGTCGTTCTTCATCATGTTGTTCACCACGCTCACCTTGGCTTTGACGCGCCCTGGCGAGGAAGGGTCATGCACGGCGTCACCCTGGGGGATGAACTGGCGGCCGGAAAACCCTTCACTCAACGGCTTTTGAGTGACGAGGCAGGTCATGCCCTTGAGTTCCGACCATTGCTCGGCGACTTTTTGCAGAGCGGGAGGGTTGTTGGACAACGCGGCCGCGACAATTGTCGCCGCACGCTGATCCCTAGGCACGAAGCCCTCCTCCACAGGCTGCGCATCGTCGCTCATGAGGCACAGTAGCTCCTTGACCGCTTGCGTGTCCTCGGTGAGCTTGAGGCCATAGTACATGTCGTGACTCAGGTCCTCCAGCCACTCCAATGCATCGTCATACGTGGTGTCCCGCGTCGCCGGATCCTTGATCATGGAGAGGACGTCGTAGAAATACCCAGCCTCGTGCTGCGGCTTCTTGACAGCGCCGACGGGTTCGTACACTGGGGCTCCCTTTGGTACTTGTGGCTCCTCGGGCTGCTCAGGCTCGACGACCAGGACGGCCTGTTCCTCGGGCGATAGACCCTTTAGTTCCTCGGGGACCTCGCCTTCCACGTTGATCTTGGCCTCGAGCTGGCCCGATGTGACGTTGAGTCGGACATGGAGACCTTGAGGGATCTCCTGGTCTTTCTGGACAGCCTGGAACTCATCTGTGGGTACGAATATTTTAGGGTAACATTCTTCAGGGTTGTCGGTGTGGCATATCAGCTCGTTGCTGTCCTTGTCTTGAGTGTCTTGGTTTGACGAGGGATTGCTGCTGGCGAAAGCGATATTTGTGAAAATTGTGAGAAGGAGCGCAAAGATTGCGGTCAATGATAATGACGGCGTTTTCCGGCGTCCGAGAGACATGGTGTGGATATGTGATGGGTAAATTGGCGATACTAGACTTTGGTGCCAATGTCAGAAGTATGAGTGATGATCGGTGAGACGACGTCTGAAGGGAAGAGCGAAGCAATGCGATCCTCTACCGCTGTGCCTCAGAAGAAAGATAGAGGAGAGTCCTGATATAATTTTAAATGAACGTCAATAGAAAGTCTTGAACTAAATGGAAGTCATGACTCCTACTTGAATGAAGCCAGATTTCATCGAAAGCTGGAGATGGTGACAGAATTCAAGATCGCCAAGGTCAAAGTGGCACCTTTTGATTGGCTGCGAGTCATGACTCAGCGGTGGGTTCTGCGTGCCCTATAACAAGCCCAACTGTCCTTTTCTCCGTTTGCACCGCCATTTGTCATGTTGCCACGTATCGACTTGTGATAAAGAAGATCGCTAGGCGGTGTTTGGACAGATGGAAGTTGATATGGTTGCTGAGCTGACATTGCTGTGGCAGGGCGGCAGACTTGGTTCCATCAACGCAACACTCAGCGGTGTAGAGGAAAATGTGACTACCCTAGAGTTACTACTATAGGCCAAGAAACTCGATTGTGCGTTGAGCCTGGTCTTCATTGCCATCTTACAACGAGCAACTGATGAATTCTGCTCTGCGAAAGTATACACACCAGCTCTGCTCAGCCGCCAACTCTATCCAGCCACCACTGCGCCCATGTTTGGCATGTCCTCCAACTTAGCCAGAGACTAGTGCAACAAAGATAGGCTCATCGTTGCGCACCTGATGCTGCGCGACACGTTGAAGAATGCAATCGGATATCTCGCAGATATCGAGAAGGCTGGTCAGGGTCTTGAAATTTCCCATGGAGGCTGGATAGGGGTCTCCTGACATCTGAGACACCACCAAAGCGGCAGAGGCATGTGAGACATTGCACACATAAAGCATCAGCTTGAGACATGAAGCTGACTTTCGTCATAGCTGAGAAGTCTTGAGAAGATACAGGTATCACTCCGACTATAAGACGTGATCTCCCCGGGTGAGTAGGAGCATAGCCTGGCAAACACCAAACCAGTCCACAGCAAACAAGCAAGCAACATCTTCCACCATGGCCTTGATCGCAGCTACATCCATTTTCATCCTTGCGACACTATTGCAGACAGTCAGTGCTGCGCCAGCGTCCCATCATCACATGCACAAACATGTCGCTCTTCTCAGGCGGCAATATCATCAACACCCAGACGAGGTGATCCGCATGAGACAGGGTCCGATACACAACGATCCCGAGATGATTGACTCGCTCGTCGACCCGAGGCCAGATGCAACAGGCCACCCTGAGATGGTGGTCGATCCAGTCCTGGGCGACCCATTGGTCACTCGATATCTAGATGACACGGCTTTGTGAGGGCTAGAGGGCTTGCAGTATGGGAGGAGCTCGCAGGAGATATGCGGCATGCATTACTTGGCGTTTATGGTCTTACGGCGTTTATGGCTCGAATATCCTTTTCTCGGTGTACTCAGGAGAGCGAGCAGGTGTACGGCAGGTAGAGAACATCTGCATAAATTTATGAGTTGATTTGAGTGAAAAGCGTGTAATTGTGAGATGTAATAGGAGAAGAATCTAGCTGCGGGTTGTACATGTGAATAACTTGCTGTGCCTTGAGAAGTCGCATACAGGCCAGACCCACTTTGCTCGTCGCAGGAAGGAACAAACGAGGCAAGTCAGCTTGAACATTGACCCTTCATGATACACCAGTTTTTCGCGTCATAGCGACATTGAATGCTGATGGCATCTTGATGCTCGGAACTGCGACTCAAGTATGCTCTCTCGCAATTTCCGAACCGCATACAGTCATGTTCCCCCGATCTTCTACAGTTTACGCGCTTCGGCGCGTTCGAGGTGTCCCACCGTGATCCTCACCCGCACTACGCCTGCGGCCTCATCTACATTAACATCCGAGGCATCTCCAGATCGCGTCGAGTACGAATGGACCGAAGGAATTGAAGACTTGGAGGAGTACTGCCCAGGCGGATACCACCCCGTCTCAATCGGCAACGTGCTGCACAATCGCTACGAGATCATTGACAAACTGGGGTATGGAGGCTATTCGACGACCTGGCTCGCGCGCGATCGTTACCATCAGAAATATGTCGCTGTCAAGGTTGGTATTTCCGATGCGCCTCTCCATCAGAGAAACGAAAGTCGCATCCTGCAACGGCTCAGCCATCCCCGCATACCCAAAATCCTGGATCATTTCGATGTCACTGGACCTAATGGAACACATCCATGCTATACAATGGCGGTCGCGCAGGGCAATCTCAATGACGCTCTATGTAAGCCAATGTTTCCTGTCGAGGTTGGAAGGGTTCTGGCAGCAAAACTTGCATCTGCTGTTGCCTACATCCACTCACAAGGCTATGTGCATGGAGGTTAGTTCTCGGCATCGCAGTCCAGATCTATCCAACATCACTCAGACCTACACATCCGGAACATGCTCATACAGACTCCTTCACAGCTTGACCAGCTTTCAGTGGAGCAATTCCGAGAGAAATTTCACGCGCCTATTCAAGTGCCCATTACACGGAGACTGATGGCTTGCCACTTACACCACATGTACCGCCGTACGCTGCTCTACGACTGGACATGACCAAGGCAGCGCGGAAATTCACAGTAGAAGATGCACAGGGCTTTGTACTGGCTGACTTTGGCGAAGCCTTCTCCCCAGCCGAGGAGCCGCGTCTCAATCGAGACAATCATACGCTCTTGCCCGGCCAGCCTCCTGAAACATTCTTCGAACCTGACGCCCATGTCTCAGCCGCTTCCGATATCTGGACAATGGCCACGGCGATTTGGGAGATCCTAGGGATGAAGTTTTCCTCCAGCCAGCACGTACCGCCAAATGAGCTGCTGGCCGAGCACATCGACGTCCTCGGCTATGAAAGTTTCCCCGACGAGTGGAAAGCCATATGGGAGCGCCCAGAAGTAGACAGAGAATGTCAGCTTCCACGACGGCCAAAGCGACCCGCGGGAGATATATGGCCACCGCTCGACCAAGCTTGGGAGGAGTTCAACCAGACATTCAGGAGGAAGCGAGAGACCACGGGAATATTCGGGGAGGAGGAGAGCAGGGCCGTCCTCGAGCTAATGCGTGGCATGCTTCGGTATCGACCGCAGGATCGGCTCACGGCGGACGAGGTGCTCCAGTCGGAGTGGATGGTCAAGTGGGCGTTGCCACAGGCGGGACAGGCTGCCGGGAATATCTGGCTGTCTTACATGGCGGCTACACTGACCCAGCTTCTTTCGACGGCAGCGAACAAGCCCTCACAGACGCTCAAGTATTTCTCCCAATACACATACAAAGACGTCGAGACACGTCCCAAAACTATCTGTTACTCATTCTCCTCCTCGCTATCAAACTCGCTCAGGATCCTGCGCGCCGCCTTGCGACCGACAACCGGCAGCCTGTCCACCCCAAGATCCTTTGCAGTCTGGGGCAGAAGCTTTGGGTCCAGCAGACCGATCTGCATCAGGACGCTGGCCTGGTCCCAGTATACATGCTCCTGGTATAGCTTGCCGCCCTTGAGCGCGACGATACTTACCACGAGGATCTCCACCTTCTTGTTGGTCGCCGGCACATCGGGCAGCATCCAGGGCACTTCCTGCGTATGCTTGAAGCGAATGTGCATCTCGTCGACCACGCGATCCACCCCAATCGTGCGAGACAAGAGTGTCACCTTTGTGCTGGGCGGGTTGGTGAACGCCGTGGCGTAGTATGCCCTGAGGTCCTCGACGCCGATGCCGCCCGTCAGGCTGGGGATGTTTGTGACATGCGGCGTCTTGTGTGTCGTGTATGCCTCGACGGCCTTGTCAATGTCGTTTGTGAAGAACTTGCTCTGCAGATTGCTCTCCAAGACGACCTCGAGATCCGGGTCGATGCCAAACACCTTGCGCGCCGCCGACAGACTGCGGCTCCAGGCGATCTCGGCGCAGATGCCGTCGAATTCCTCCACGTCGTGCTCTGCGAAGCCTGGCTCGGCGTTGTACGTGTAGCTCGGGTACGCGAGTTGCAGCTTGCCCCCCGTGCCGGCCCCTGGATCAACCCTCTTCTTCTTGGTGCGACGCTTGCCCTGTATCCCGACCATCTGCGACTGCTTGGTGATGCCGATCTCAGCGCCCGCGGTGAGATGGACGAGCGTGCTGATGGCGTTGGGGAACTTGCCCTCGGGGTCGGGGATCGCGGTCGGGTAGTAGGCGATGAGCAGGCCGAGCTTGAATTCGGGATTATTGTCCATGAAATGGTAGTGTGCCAGACACATTGTCGCGGCGCTGTCATATGCTGCGACGCAATCGTCAAGTCAGATCGGACCGCACCATTTGCTGCATGCAAGGTCGTGGTACCTACTTACCCACGATGCCAAACTTGGCACAAGGCTCCATCTTCTCCCTGCTCAGGTCCCTGAGCTTCTCAATGTACCCGTCGGCGCCACAACTTTGGACGGAGAAGTACTCGACGTCGAATCCTTCGTCCTGCCACTCCTTGATGGTCAACTCGTCAAAGTCATCGTCCTCGCCCGTGATGTACAGCTTGGGCGCGGAGCGGGGAAAGTCGCGCGACAGAAAGTTGCCGTCGCGGAAATCGGCCGACTTGGAGTTTTCTGAGAGGACTCTGACATTGCGGCCCTCGGACTCGGGGACAGCTTTTTTGATCAAGTTGCTGACGTCGATGTTCATCTTGCTGGGTGATGCAGGCAGGCAATCAGTGTTTCCTTGATCAAGAGGGGAGTTGAGCTGGCGGTCGTCTGAGATCTGGATGAACAATTGTTAACTGACTACTAACTTAGTTGTTTACATGCTCACGAGCCGCATCGCGAAGATGATGGTGAGATGGCTCAGACGTCATCACACGATGTGACATTGCCAAGTTTCTGGCACATGCAGGTCCACCGTCTTGGTCCACCCTGTTTCTCCACAGGAGTCTTGTTCTCCTAGCTCACTCAGCCTCACTGCACCCTCCCCTTTGTCTCTTCTTCAACACAGGCAAGGAGGGTAACTGTGACTGTGCCAGCTGTCATTACTGCTGTCGCATACTCCAGTTTAGCGCCATGTCGTCCAAGGCGGCATCCACGTGGCACTATTGCTCCAAGCGTGGAACATAGGAACACGATCACAGCCACTCAGTCGAAGATGATTGCCAGAATTTAGGAACGCCTCAATTGGAATGGGCTGCGGAGAAGGACGGACAACACTTCAAGTTTGATGAATGCGACTCGCGCCTCAACAAACCAAAGTGAGCGGAGAAGACACAGGACATCAAGCACACGGCGATCTGTGTTCATTTTCAAGGATGAAGCTATCTTGTTTCTTCTAGACAGCGAAGGACAGTGCTGTTCGTTGAATATCAGACACAACTATTCTGGGCGAGAGAGCCACGAACGCATATCGTCGCCAACCTCTGAAAACCTCTACGCATGCCGTTGCCATTTACCATCCAGGGGCCGTGCGCTCCATCTTGGTCGGCCGCCTGTGTCGCTGCCTAGTTGACGGATTTACGACGGATGCTTGACAGCTCCACATCTGATAACAACCCCTGGCCTGGCGCCGGCATGATGCGTGGGAAGCCATCGGGGCTTAAAGACCGAGAAGCGCAGCTGAGGCTGCCGAGTGGGACTGTCCGTGCAATCGAAGATTCGAAGTGGCGTGATCAAAGGAAGCCATTGTCAGGGCCGTCGGACTGAGGCTACGGCCAAAGACTACTCGAGCCTCAGGTATCGCCCTGCCAGATCTAACATCTGGACTGACACTCTTTGAGTGGCTATTAGATGACGAGAATCGTATGCGATATCATTATAGGGCAAAAGCCTGAATCTCAAGTACGCTATGCGTCCGGGTTTCCTGCACGCCTCCTGACTCGCGCGGCCAGGGGCTCCCCTGAAAGCCAAAGGCGGGTCTCGTCTCGTGGCGGGCAGACAGCAAGGCGCCCATGGAATGACAAAACGAGATAAATCACCGCATCTTGTGCGCAAGCACAATGGCCCGTCGCCGGTGTCCGTTTTGCCGATGTACGACCTCATACCGGACGCTTTGGTCACCCAGCCGCTTGGCGAGCTCGTTCCCGTCCGCGTTGGAGTCGGCGTGCGCCGTGAGGGGGGCCTGGAAAGCCGTGGCCGTCTCAAGCGGGCTCATGGAGACGGGACGTCCCAGAAGCCAGAAGCCGCTGTAGAGGAAGAAGACGGCCAGCTCGCCGAGGACCAGGATGGCCAGCGCGCCGGCCATCCACTCGACGTGGAGGGCGTACTTTGTCGTGGTGCGCAGCTGGCTGCCGTCGATGGACTGCTCGGCGGACGAGTCGGAGAAGGCGAGGGCGGTGCGAAAGGTCAGCTCGCGGATCGCCTCGAGGACAGCCGGTGTGGGATCGGTCCAGGTCACGTCGGCCGTCCCCAGGGAGTCGTCGGACGAGTTCATGTAGGTGTACTGCATGGGCCCCGTGCCCATAATGGCCAGGGAGCCCGAGTTGTAGAGGTCGACGTCGCTGGCGTAGATGCTGTCGATGGCGTAGGCGATGCCGCCCAGTGTGGACGGGAACCTGGTCATGCCAGCGGCCTCGGGGTCATAGTACGTCAGCGCCGTGGTGCGGTTGGCGATGTCGTCGACGGAAGAGATGGTCCCCTCGAGTGTCAGAGTCCCGTTCGCGTACTGGAACGGGTACTCGACCTGGGCGCTGTGGAGGGTGCAGTTGGTGGTGACGAGGTTGCCCTTCTTGTCGGTGGAGGGCTTGTAGGCGGTGGAGATGTTGAGGATGCCTGGTGAGCCGATGCCGTCGGCCTTCACGCTGATGGTGCCCACGGTGACCCTGTCGCCGCCCTGCATGTCCTCCAGACTGTACTCTGTGTCTTTTGTCTTGCAGCTGACATCGAAACCGGCGGCGACGAGGGTGCCCGTACAGGACCCCTTGCAGCCTTGGAGATCGAGGGAGATGGGCTCGTTGTTGCTGTAGGCCATGACGACCTGCGAGAAGTTGCCGGACAGGGAGTTGACGGAGCGCGCACGCGTCATGTAGTACGCCGTCGGCTGGCTGATCTTGGCGTCCGACACGGCGGCCTTGAAGGTGGCGGGCGCCGTCTCGGTGACGGTGGTGATGCCGGCGGCGCGCTGGAGCAGGGGCCCGTCGACGATGAGCAGCAGCAGCGTGATGGACACGAGGGTGACCTTGCTGAGATGGCGCAGGCCCTTGATAGCCTCGAACGCGCTCGATCCGTGCTGCCAGTACCGGTGGCTGTCGTAGAGGCTGGTCCCCTTGATCATGCGCACCCACCAGGCCACTGTCACGCCCTCGCGGTAGGCCATGGTCAGCGCGGCGTTTCCCACGCCGATCAGGATGGCCAGGATCACGGACAGCGGGATCTGGGTTGTCTCTGTCGGCCAGGCGTCGGTGGCCTTTCCGTCGGCCGAGAGCAGGACGATGACGATGGCGGCGACGGTCAGCCCCGTCCCCATGATACCGACCAGGCCTATCCAGGGGGTGGTCTTGAAGAAGCCCTTGTGGTATTGCATGGACTCGTCATGGGCCGGCGGCGAGTGGACGGCGGCGTTGTCGTGCGGAAGGGCCTGTGAGGTGGTCTGGGGGAAGTTTTTGGTGCTTATAGGACTGGGCATCTGTTGTTGTGACTGCTGCTCGTAAGATGAGTCGCCAAAGTGACCACTGCTCACGAAAGGGGTTGCCGGGTCGGTGTAGTTCTCGTAGGCTGGGCGGGAGTACCGGTGGTCATGCCTGTCCATCTGGTATCCATACTGTCCGTTGTGTGTCGCCATGGTGGTCCTGCTTGTCCTCGGATGGTCCGAGATAGTGTTGCTGGATAGTAGAGGCGGGACACTGGGGGAGGGTCAGGAGACTCAAGAGGCCGACATGCGATACTTGTACAAGCCATCCATCACCAGACCCTCTCTCGGACGAAGAAAAAGAGCCCCTGGCATCCTACGAGTAGGTATCCTCGCCGAGGCTCGAAACGAGAAGGCTCCCCCACTGTCTTTGACAAGGTGTGCCCGACAGACGACTGAGACGAGGAGCATATGCAGAATGCGGTGGAGGCGCAAAGCCGCCAAGGAGCGATCGAGGCCCTGCGCGACTAGGGTTGGAAATGAAGGTCTGCCGAGAGCCGCGATATTCGGAGATGCCCAGAGCGCAGAGAGAGGCGGCCGCACGCAAACCACAGTGAAGATGGGAATCCGAAAAACGTATTATCACTGCCCTGCCCCTGTCCAGGCCAGCGCACCTCTGAGCCTCAACTCGGCAAATGTACGTGTCGATTGATTGGGCATGCCCTGGAACAACTTAGGGCTGGCCCGCAGATTGCAGGGTTGCACGATCCATTTGCGGAAGAAACGCTCCCTGGCAGCTGGCGATCGTGAGTCTGTCGTCGCCTCGACATGCGGCGGATATGACACGGCGTCTCGCATTTCCATCATTCCATGGCGCGCCCCTGTTGACGGTCTCGAAACACCGCCCTAGCGGCCCTACCGTAAGGCTGACTAGCAGCTTGCAATCGCGCCGCTGCCATGACGGGGTATATCTCCGAGCTGGACACGCTCAACACGCCGGCCTTGGTTATGAACGTGGTCTTTGCGTCCGAGTGGAACGTGGCAGATTCAAAGGCTCTCGGGCGCCAGAAGTGTGAGTCTTGAGAGTTGATTGTTCTCTGGCCTCAAAGTCTTCCATCCGGCGGGTCTTTAGAGCCCTTGAGATCCCCAAGCGAGCCTCCGATGTAGATAGAGGTGCAATCGCAACAGAAGAAGCTATATCCTCACTTCAACACTTGCTCGCACCCGTCAAAGAGTTGAGAATTGACAAAGTCACCCACGCCAATGAACTCAAAAGGTCGTTCTCGGCTGCAAGCCTCCTTCATAGGCAAGAGTCGCATCGCACGCGTCGCATCGCACGCGTCGCTCTGTGGCCAGCGCCATGTTCAATGTTCGCTGCACGCCTGACCTTCATCTTGTCGTCTCTGACGAGCCAGACAAAATGAAGTCAGCACCTGTGACGTACGACTCGAAGATATGCGTGGTTCTCCGTTGGCTTATCGCTGAACATTCTGGAAAAGGTCGAGACGAATGGCTTGGACCGACGCCAAGAGCTGCGCGAAACGAAAATGGCGACCTGGCGGCAGGGCTTTGCCCAAGGCTTTTATAGTCTCGCCCAACGCGGGCATCCACGGACCACAAGTCCACGACCACGCTCGAGACGTTGGCCTCTTCGGCTGCGCTGACTCTCAGCCTAGGCATAATTTGGACGGGCGACGGCTCGTGCTTCTGGGACAATGGCAAGAATGGTGAATCCTCATGTCTGGCTGGGCTATCCGAGCATGAGGTTATACGCCCCAGATCATACAGGACACAAGGTCAAGAACACGCCAAGGCGAAGCTATGACAGACCCTGGTATTTCGATGCAACCGCGGTACAACCCAGCCTATGAGGCGCCTCCAAAGCGTCTGCAGGATTAGCGGTCAGATTCGCCAATCAAAAGGTACAGTCCAGACTCCAACAGCAGCTGCCTCTTCTGCACTTCTGACAGCTCGTCTTTGGAGAGCTTCAATCGTCCTCGTCTACCTCCGTACGGTCTCGCCTACACAGCGAGCCGCGCCATTAAGGTTAATTTAGCGACTCGGCAACACGGGGATCGTATCGTCATGAGCTTCCTCACTCTCAGGGACCATTTGTGCAAGGGTCCTTGTGCGCGGCGCCTCCTCTGGCAGGGCTGAGCCCGCTACGACATTGACGACTGCATTCAATTCAATGCATTGGACTGTTGGTCCGTCGTCAAGGCTGGAGAATCAGCAGACCAGTCAGCACGCCAGACCACGATCCTAGACGTCTTGGCAGTTGGTCCCCAGTCCAGTCCGGTCTGGTGAGAATCGATGATAATAAAATGAAGGGCAGCCCGCCTCTCTTCTACTCACAAGAACCCTCCGCAACCCCCTCTCTCATCAAGATTACCATATCGCCCAGAACTCAGTATCCAGACCACCATGCGCCTCTCCACCCTCTCCCTCGGCGCGAGCCTCTCTAGCGCGGCCGTCGCTGCGAGTGCTGTGGACGACTACCTCGCCATCTTTGAGCACGCGACAATCACCAGTCCCGCCGGCGGCATCGTCGACTTCTCCGGGCCCTTCAACATCACCTGGTCCACCCCGTCCAACGCGTCGTCACCCACCGACTCGCGCTTTCGCGACCTCACCAAGGGGGCCTCCTTCTGGTTTTCATACAACTACGAAAACATCACAGGCTATGACCCCTCCCTCCCCTCCGACAACACAACCAACATTCTGATCGACGAGGTGGCTGACTTTGACCCCTCCAACAACTTCTACGAGTGGGAGGACCCGGCGGACGCCGTCAAGTCGACGCGCGAATCGCTCGAGGAAAAGGCGCGGTTCATGAAGCTGAGCGACCTGCCCGGCGGCGCGCGCTGGTCCGTCACCATCTCCTTTTCCGTCGACAACGGCACGGCGGAGGAGGAGGGTGCCGAGTACTTTGTCAAGCGCGACTCGTCCATGTTCGACATTGAGGGCGTGGACGGGTACGAGCCTGACCAGGAGGGCATCGAGTGGGGGAGCGCGGCTGTCGCGCTGAGGCCGGTGGGGATGCTTGCCGGTGCTGCTGTTGCCGCGGCCGCGATGCTACTGCTCTAAGGGGGGCGAAGAGTGATTTTCAAGAGCGTCCATGTTCCGAGCAGGGCGAGCAGGCGTTGGTGTGCATATGCGGTAGGGCTCTATTTTAGCATGGTCCAACCAGGGACATGAAGAGAACGAAGACATGACGAATCCTCTGTACATAGAAACTCAGATAGAACCTCGTATATTGAACTCGAACTAAGGAAGCGATGCGGTATGAAAAAGGATCTCAAGGATATGTGTTCCGATCTGGTGCCTTCATTTCAACTTGGACAGGTCCATTGCTCGACGACGAGGGTGAGGATTCTGCACTCCCGTCAGCCCTCATTCATGATGTAACACCCAGTTCGCGGTAGTGTCTGTGACCAGCAAGATGTCGTGTGAACACTGTCTGGGTGGCGCTGCTAGTCTTCTGTCCCGGGATAGACTGTAGAATCGATTCGTTCCAAAATATGTACGTACGTTATATGAAAGAGCGACGAAGATACAAACATAACAAAGAAGATAGCAAGGCCCACATGGCCGTCCATCAACTACTCTCCGAGAGAACAAACCTCTCTTCTCTCCTCCTTGGTCGCCAGCACGGCGTGCTCAGACACACTGGTGGTACCACTCGTTGACGACCTTGCAACTGCCAGAAGAGCAGCACGTGGCACCGCCCCATCCATTGCCACCACACTGGCCGTACATGGCAGAGCAGCCACCACCGTTGCCTGGGTTGGAGGGCTCGCCGCCGCCACCGCCATTGCTCGCGCCGTTCCAGACAGCAGGGCCCGGCATGGTGAAGGATTTGTAGCCGTTGTAGACGCTGAAGTTGGCGTACGGGTCAGAGTCCTTGTAGCCGCCGGGGAGCTTGAACGTGGGACTGGGCGAGCCGTTACCGCCGTTCTGGACCTTGACTTGGAGGCATGAAGTGTAGTGCTCGGGCTGGTTGACGTGGGAGCGGTGGATGCCTTGCGTGTATGGTTAGCAGTGTGCATGCACTAGATGGCCAGGGACTGCCGAACGCTGTCCTTGGAAAGGAGAGATCATACCAATATGCTCGAAGCGGACGAGGTACTCGCCATTGGGCGTGTTGGCGGGGATCTTGGCGGTGATGGTGTCACGGCCCCAAGTGCACCAGGCGTCGCGGGTGAAATCAGCACCTTGCCTGCAAACCTGATGAAAGTTTCTCGTCAGAATGATATGGCCCGTACAAGAGATATGAATAGTCACATACACCCTCTTCAAAGATCTTGAACCAGTCGCCCGAGCCATCGTAGGCCTTGACGTTGTCGCCAGGGGCGCGAGACATGTAGACGAGGCCGGGGCCTAAGGGTACAACTCGTCAGATCTTTTCTCCCTCTCCGTTTCCATGGACTGCAAGTATAGAGCAAACTCACCAGGGTGTTCCATCTTGGCACCGTAGGCTAGCTTGGCCGTGACCTCGGAACCAGCGTTCACGGTCAAGACCTCGGTGCGGCCAGCGTTCGAGAAGGCGCCCTGGTTGCAGCGGATATCGGGTCCATCCGCGTAGGAGCCGTCGCGGATGTCGCCCGCCGGGTTCGAGGAGAACTTGATCGGGTTGTACTTTGTCGCGCGCGTCGTGTCGCGGACGTACTTGCCGGGTGTTTGGGTAGCACCGTTGACAATGTTCGTCTCGAAGAAGTAGTGGGCGGAAGCCACCTGAGCCGCGGCCGCGAGGAAGATGGTCGAGAACTTCATCTTGCTGGTAAATGGGCAACGAAGGGAATGGAAGATGTACACACAAAGTGTATATCGTTCTATAGGAGAGGCGGCAAGACGAAGGGGCCGGAGCGTTGCTGGGAGGGATGAGGAGAGAAGGCAAAGAGAAACAGACCTCGAGATGGATACATCGATTCTTTTATAGACCCGAGGTGTGTATGAGTGAGTAGTTCAACACTTCAAAGCTTCTTCTCTGGCCTCCCGATCCATCTACACCGACTTCCACAGCATGGGTGCATGCATATATGAAGACAAGTAGCGGAAGATGCGGGCCGGCTATGCTGGAATGGGGGGACACGATATATTGAATTGCACGGAATAGTCCGGCGAATGTTTCAAGCCCTTGCCTCTGCTGCTTGGCCGGCACGGTGACACACAATGGGGACGTTGACGTGGACTCTTACAACACCACAAGGCGGATTAAGGATGACAGTGTAATCAACATAGGTGACGCCTTTGTGGGAAAGACACTTTGCAGTCTAGGCCCTAGATGCCTACGTCGTTCAAAGTAGTCTCAACGTCTACGAGGATACTGAAACGCCGTATCCTGATCGAGCCGCAAAGGTGACATGGCTGCGAGGATCTGGGGTGCATCGAGAGAAACCCCGCCCAGATCTATCACCTAGGCCTAGGGGGTAGCAATTAGCGAGACCCGAAGAGGACGATATCAACTGCCGGTAGGGCAGGGGTAGCAGACGAAAAAAGAGCAGTCCAGATATGGACACGGACTTGGACACTTACACTCGAAGTAGTAGCTGCATGCAGACTTCCATCTTGCATCTTGGACCCAACTAGAAGTCTAGAACACCAGATCTGGGGAGGATTCTTCTCCCATCAAGGCGGAACTAGGAAGGCGCCTCGCGTTTGGCTCTGGCGCGCCAATCGGGGCTTTCCACTCGATCCCTGTCCCACGGATCATGCAGTCTCGTTTCATGCAGCCCGCCAGTTTGTCGTCCATTGCCAATGCTCGCCACGCCGACCTGGCCAATTGCTGTCGGTGGATATAAGCTTATCCCCCTCTGACACTGCGCAGGCACCGGTCTGGTGGATCCATCGCGGCAACGCCCCGAACAAGCATAAACTTTATATAGGAGTCTGTTCAGCTAGAGGTAGAGCGTGGGAGCATGTTGTCCGGGGAATGCGGGGGTATCAGTGCCACCACAGCTTAGAAAAATCTGGTACTCGCGGCTCCTCCGCCGTGTATACGGATACACGAGATCTGCTTGCCTTGATGTCAGTGGCACAAGCGCCCACCCCGTCCAACATCGTGCCTATAGACACATGACTTTTGCTTGCTGGCTAGCCAAGAAGGGCGGAACGAGTACATCCTTGACTTCCAAACTCGGTCAGATCGTATATAGTATATAGATCATGTGGCACCTGCATGCATGGGAGCCGGATGATCGGTGCACACGGCTGGTCTCGCCACTGGCATGTCCAAGTTCTTTAGAGACGACGAGGCTCCTTGATAGAGCTCACACAGCTCCATCAGAGGTCCTATACTTGAGGGACTCAGTCTTTTGGCGCCAGCCATCGCTCCCTTGCTCTCTCCTTGCCTGTCCTTCTTCGTACGTGTTGTTGTCGTGGAAAAAGGATTCAAGACATACACATTAAGATTGGTCTGTGATATATGCTATACACACGGCAGCTTGGTCTTGAATAAACGAAAAAAGGCTGATACTGTGCCCACCGAACGTGAGACGATGTGTGACAGGCGGAGTGTCGATGAAATGTGCTGTCACTGCAGTGATTGTTCACAGCGAGCGACAGCATCTCCGGCAAATTGATGAAGAAAAGAAGAAAGATACAGACATGATAGATATCCTTTGCCATGTTGAAATGAACAGTATGGAAATAGGCAGATGCGCAAGGTCAATAAACGCCTTCCACTCAAGATGAACGCTCCCGTCGCAGCAGCACCATGTCTTCCGAGTCCCTCGCCCATCGCCAACACCCGTCCAGGGGCATCTTGTCATATATGGCGTCAAGCATGGTCTGTCCCCCGCGTTGGGCTCGTAGTTTTGGCTTGTCACCAGTTCCACGTCCTCACCCTCTTGGTCATTCCCATTGTGATTCAGGCCAGTTCAAAGCCAGCAGCAGTAGAGGCTCCAGCGCAATGCACGGCGAGTTTGGCGGACTATGCTTCGTTGACAAAGGTTTATAAGCGATAGTGCCAATGTCTCCTCCTCTTCAGGTATCCATGTCCCACGTCGTACTGTTGAAGAAGCAAGAAAGACAATGACTAGGTCTGGTCTTGTAAGCCATGTATTCGACCCTAGAGGTCCATGTGGCGCCGTCGTATGTGACGAGATATAGCCTCACGTGCGTGGAGTCCGTAAACAGAGAGCATCACGTCTATCTTTCTTCGACACCGCTACACTGAACCACAGGTCTCAGTAAGGTAGACCTTCCACAATATCGCGCGACATGCGCATCTGTCATGCGTGCTAATGAGTTTGTCCTGACTGATTTGTGCACCGTCTCCTCACTGTGCCTGGTTCCCTTGTGCGTCTAACTCCAGTGCATGACAGACAGACTCCCGTTCTCCATGTCCTTCACGCGCAGTTGCTTCTTGGAATCCTTGAACAAGACATGTCTTCTCGGACAATGACAGCCTGGAGGATGATGGGTCTGCCGAGGAGTTCTATGTAAAATTTCAGAATGGTTTAATGTGCTGTACATCTGGAGCCATGTCTAGTCTGTCTGAGCAATGCGTTGCCCACAGTCACTTCCAAGTTGGATCAATCAGATACCTGATGGCCAGGTCACGCTTGGAACATGAAGGTTTTAACAGAAGAGGGTTAAGACTATCACATCTCTTTTGTGTACCTTTAAGGTAATAGTAGTAATTTTCCTTACTTTCCAAATCTTGGTAGTACCCATCGTGTGTAGGTTGTAGGAAGTGTACAATTTACAACACCCATTTGATGTCAGCACGATGCAGTCGGAAGGGCGTGCTAGTCCAAGGTAGATAAATATCCCCTCATCTGACGCTGCAGCTTGATGCTTGATCTATCCACGCAGACACACCTCTCACACACAACAGAATGACCACGACCATCAAAGCCAAGGCCCTCCAGCCTGGCGACACAATCGCATTCATCTCGCCATCAGCCCGCCTCAACGATGAGCTCCCCGCGGTCATGAAGCGCGCCACCACCGCGCTCGAGACGCGGGGCTACAAGGTCCGCGCATTCTTCCACAAGGACGCCGGTATACAGCCCTCCATCTCCAATCGACTGGCCGAGATCCGGGCCGCCTTCTCGGACGAGCAGATCGCTGCCGTCATCTGCACCATTGGCGGCACCACGTTTACCGAGTTGCTGCCCGCCCTCATCGCTGACACGGAGCTGCACAAGACCATCCGGGAGAACCCCAAGGTTGTGGTCGGATACTCCGACATTTCAGGCCTGCACTTGTTCCTGCACGCGCTGACAGGGCTGCGCACGTTCTACGGCCCAGGCGCCATCCCAGAGCTGGGTGAGGTCAGGTCCGCAGGGGACGACGACGAGACGTCTACCCAGGCCTTTTGCGAGAACCATCTTCTACGGGCGATTACATCCCAGGAGCCGCTCGGCGAGGTCCCCCGATCCAAAGTATACGCGCCTCGCGCACCACACTTCTTCAAGGATCCCTCGTCCACCAGTCCGACACCAGTCGCCCCCACACCACCGTGGACGTGGCTGCGACGTGGTCAGAATCAAGGCAGGCTCTTTGGAGGCTGCCTGACCGTCGTGGCGCGCTTGCAGGGCGTGCGCGCCATCGCCCCAGACTGGCGGGGCAAGATTGTCTTTCTCGAGACAGCCATGTCAGACGATGACCAGCACGGCCCTCCCCTGTTTCGCGTGCAAGCGGCCTTTGCCGATCTGATCGCCGGCGGCGTCTTTGAGGAAGCGGCCGGTCTCGTGGTGGGGAGGCCGTTTGGCTACGACTCGGAAAGGCAAAGACAAGAATACGCAGATGTGATCACCGGGCTGTTCTGCGAGGGCCGTTTGGCCGAGAAGAATGCGTTTCCTATCCTGTTTGGCGTGGATTTCGGACACACCATGCCGATGGTGACGTTGCCGTACGATGCTCTGGCCGAGTTGGATTCGGAGAGGGACTCGTTTGCTGTGGTGGAGGCTGGCGTCGCGTAGGTCGGACGCCCTTGCATCGTAGATCAAATCAGTAATTCGTGTGCCACACAAGCCTACAACACGCGTGACAATTCAGTGATATTTACACCGCAAGACCTGGCTTATATACTCGGCGAACGCGCGACATCAACACGCTTACTCCCAAACTCGATAATCTTGTCAATCAGCAGACCCTGCCCGTCGAGCTCATACACGTCGTCCGCGCCACCGATGCTCACGCCGTTGATGAGCACGTTGGGTACCGTCCGCCGCCCCGTCTTGACCTCGAGCGCATCCTGCAGCGCGGGACCCATGGGGTGCTCGTCCAGCTCGACAATGTACGGCTCCGGCGAGATGGTGTACCTCTCGAGGAGGAGCTTCTTTGCGCGTTTCGAGTGGGGGCAGAATGTCTTGGAGAAGATGATGGCTGCGTGCGGTCAGTCTCTGAGATTCGCCCCAAAAAGCGATTGGGTGAGGTCACGTACTCGGTGATTTCTTGAGAATCATGTTCAGCTCCGCCTCGGCGTCTCTGACCTCCTCGACCTGCTCCCCGCTGGAGCCCCCGGCACCGTCCTGGCCGTCCGCCGAGCTCCCCACGCCGACGACGTTGCTCGGCGGGTCGGGCTTGAGGCCGCCCTTTTGGTTGGCAATCTTCTTGGCGCGGAGCTCGGCCTCCTTGAGCCGTGTCTGCATCTCCGCGCCCAGCGCCCTGTCGTCCTCGTCAATGTCCCCGTCCTTGTCTCGGTCGGCGGGGTGGAGCTGCTGCGCCGACGACGAGCCGGCGTCCATGGCGTGCTTGGTCTTTTGGTAAAAGTCGCGAAAGGGCGTGTGCTCTTTTGACATGGCGTCATCGGACAGACGGCTTGTGTAGAAGAAGATGAGGATGACGGTGCTCAGGCCCGCCAGGAGGATGAGGCGCATCCGTCGTGGGGACGGCATACTGTGCTGTGCGTGGTGTATGGGGTTGTTGGCGCTCTTGAAGCTGCTGCTCGGCCTGGTTGATCGGGTTGATCGGTTCCCACAATGGAAGCAGCTGCGATGGCGGCGCGTGTCGAGATCAGAGTCGCCAATAATCAGATCGTACAGCTCTGCACCTTGAGAGCAGACTCGCTGTTCAATGGCACTGGCGTCTATTCGTAGCAGCTGGGGTGAGGACGGAAGTGTCGTGCGGGAGCGAAGATCGACGTTGACGAGCCAGGCACGTCAACGCGACTCCACTTGCGGAAAGGGGTGCTCGGCGCACGGTGTAGACTGTGCTACTTTGCGTTCGAGCTGCCGTTCTGCGCCTAAATTCGCACAGTGCCGATAGACGGGGTGCACTCCTGCCTTCCCACCAGGTCAGTTCCTTCCTCACCCTCCTCGCCTTTCAATGTTCACACTCAGCCTCTGACTGTGCGATGATGCCAGCAAAGCGACTGTATTGAACGCAGTGCCTTCAAAGGTTCAAGTCAGCAAGTGACAGGGGCTACTACGCGTTACCATATGCGCGCGCAATACGCTTTGCGCTGTCTGGCGCGGCACGTGGAAACTTGCACAGACAAACTCTCGTCCATGGCATCCAAGCCTACGTCTTTGGAAACGTGTCCATGCAGTTCTTCAAGCCCAGGGCCCAGTTGAATGTTGCAGAGACGATGCCGTAGAACAGAGCGATGGCAGATGATACGAACGTCCATGTCTACCGCGATGTTCACAGTACCATACTCTACCCTTAAGCTATCGAAGCAGGTCATGGGGACAGAATGATATTATCTTCTTATATTTTTGTTTTATGGTTAACTGCATGGCCATCGAACATGAAGATTGGTTGAAAGTAATTGAATGGAAAGACCCCCATTAAGTAGCCATGTTGCCACAGATATCTAGTTCAAACAAAAAGATTCGACAAAAAATACATATAGATTGAGTAAATCCCAGAAGGTAAGTAAGATTCGAAATTGTGACCTCAATAGCTTCAATACATTGCTTAGCCGCTGAGCCTCTCGAGCTTAAATGGTAAAATATACTATATACTGCTTATACCAATACTTATAGTCAACTCCCTTTGTCCCTATAACCTGGTGGCCATGTGTTAGTGACGACAATCCCTCAAACGACCAGGAGCACGGTGTCGAAACGGACTTGAAAGCTTGAAGCAGACTGGGACCGCCCACATGACCGGCGATTTGGAGCCAAAGAAGACGCCATGCCGGCCGGATATAGGTCTGTAGATAGTATCCGACTGTGCAACTCACATGCATGATTGGCGCACAATACATGTACCGACGTTGATATAATCTGATGAAATGTATCATGGGGATATCCGGCGCCGGTAGGCCACGTTTGTCGACGCGCTAATCCCGAGTTGAGTGTTTCGGGTTGCAAGGGAGTCCCCTTGTTCTCACTGGCCCGAGTTGGTCATGACCAGAGCCGAGAGGTCGGGTTCAGCATCACTCTGAGCCGTCTTCAGAGGTTAGAACAGTTGTCTTACAACGTGCTTCATACCCCCCGCGTCCCGTGTTGCAAGAGGCAAGGCCAGCCGCGCATCGCAGCTCCTTGATCGGATATGGGACATGGGCTCCCTGTTACCGCAACTCTGCTCAGATCTGATCAGCCTAGTAACTGATGGCCTAACACTGACACGTCAACTTGGGGAAAGCAAGTTCCGTGCCTTCTTTTGTAGAGGACTCAAGGTTTATGACTTGGACTTGGTCCTCCAGCCGCTTCCTTTTGTCTTCCGGCCCTTCGCCTACAAGAGACAGGCCCGTGGCCAGAGAGACGCGGAGCTCGCAATCCGAACGGACATATCGGCGCAACAATGTGATGACGAGGCCCGGGACCATGGTTATCTTGGCTCGGAGATATCAAGCTGGTTGATTGGCATTGGGTCTGCGTCGCTGCGAGCCAAGGCTTGCCATGGCCCTGCTGCACGACTATCCCACGGAAGTTGAGCGAGCATCCTGGCAGAAAGCCAGAAAGTGGAGGCATGTCTCCATTATCAGAGGACTAGTGGCAGCGTCAGAACTTTCCCTCGGGAAGACGATTCAGTACGTTGACCAAACAGTCGAATGCGGCGGGTGGAAGCGACGCACCGACTGAGCCTTGCGTGAGCAACGAAACCCGCTGGACACGCATGTTACTGGCGTCGCTTCCACTGGATGTCTTGTCTCTGACAAGACCGTACACCTTTAGCGCGAAGAACGGGAATGAGGGGACGAAGAGGAGGGAGTGTCTGTGGGGAGTCGGCACTGGAAACGTAGATGGCGTCGGAAAGGATGTACCCACCTGGCTGCACGCTGACCACTGAGAAGACAACGTCGGATGCCGGGAAATTTAAGCTCGAGATGCGGCGCAGAGGCTGAAATAAGCTTAATGAGTCAATGGGGGACAGGGTCCGTCTGCGAGAGATGGCGTGCGGCTCAAAACCACTAGACTCTGGTGCCACCGACGTCTGCACTCGCGAGATACGGTCTGAATTTCCAACAGCAGGAATGATTCAACGCTGACCCTTTTTCGATGTATGGTTGAAGAACGGCCAAACATGGCGAGGCAGAATCCAGTGCCCCATCGGCGGTGGCTGTCGGACTACCACCGCAGCCAAGAATGTACCGGCTTCAGAGATGATGGACTGGACCGGGTTGCTTACAATAGACGACAAGCTAAAACAGACACTGCTTGCCATTGCCTAGCCCCTTTGGATATCCAAAGGGACCAAGCATGCCCCCTCAGCTTTTCTCCGCAACTGAACGAGGGGAGCCCGACCCCGGACGTGGGCCAGTATGAAGGAAGGCAAACTTTACCTCCACGAGATGCCCCAGTCCTCTAGCTCCCAACATGAGACCCAATAGTCAGCACGCGATTTCACTCCGTCTGTGGAGATGTCGAGGTGTCGTACGTATCGCTGCGGGGTGCCTTTCTGGAGTGTATAAGAGAAAGGTCCCAGATCAGGAGAGCAATGCTCGTTTCTCATCTCCTCGTCCTCCGCAGTCAGCCTGGTCACCTGTGATTCTACGCTGATTGTCCGCTACCCTAATACACAGACACGTCTCGCTGGACCCCCTTTGTACTCCCTTTCACAGCCCTTCACCCAAGACAGTCTTGTCTTGAGTATCCTTCCCGGCGGAGACATGGCGTCCGATGAGAAGCCTGCTGCAGACACTCCTCAGGATGCGCAGGCACAGCAAGCCCCTATCCAGCCAGAGCCGGCCAGCCGACCTGTCAGCCCAAGCGGGACCGTTGTGAAGGACCCGGACTCTGCGAATGCCCTACAGAAGGAGCTCGCTGTGGTAGAGGAAGGCTTTCTCAAGAATGAGGGCCGCATCCCCAATCCCGAGGAAGCCATTGAGGCTCTCGGCATACCCAACTGGCGCGAGCTGGAGAAGAAGGTCGTTCGCCGCCTCGACATGACGCTCATGCCCTGAGTCTGGGTCTTGTACTTCTTCAACTAGTATGTCGCCCTCTTATTCTGTCTCACAGCGACGAGAAATTGGTCTCACTAACATGCCAACAGCATGGACCGCGCCTCCATTGGTCAAGCGAGGTTGAGTACTCTCGACGAGGACTTGAACCTGGCCGGTAGCGACTTTTCTACTGCTGTGTCTATTCTCTCCATCGGTTACGGTACGAACATGGACTTGACATTGGCCTCTTCTCGCCACGATCCCCACTGAAATTTCTATAGTTCTCGGCCAACTCCCCAGCAACATGTTGATCACCAAGATCCGCCCCAGTATCTACCTCTGCTCCATGGCATTAGTCTGGTCCGGTGTCAGCGCCGCCACCTGCGGTGTCACCGACTCCAAGGGCCTCATTGGCGTCCGCTTCGCTCTTGGTCTCGTCGAGGCGCCTCTCCTCCCTGGCGCCGTCTACCTCCTGGGCTGCTGGTACACAAGGAAAGAAGTCGCGCTGCGCATGGCCATCCTCTACTCTGCCCAGACCCTCGCGTTCTGCTCAGCCGGTCTGATCGCCGCCGCCATCTACGCCACGCTGGAAAAGGTGCACGGCCTCGCCGGCTGGCAGTGGCTCTTCATCATCCTCGTCGTCACGGGCGCAGGCTTTGCCCTCATCTGCGTCTTCATCCTGCCTGACTACCCAACCTCCACCACCGGGAGCGCGCGATGGACCATGACAGAGGACATGCGCCGGATCGCGGCGGCGCGCATCCTCGCCGACCGCCCCTCCACCCCCAAGGGCAAGGCCGGCGCGTGGGAGGGGCTGAAGCTCAGCGTGCGGGATCCCAAGCTCTGGGTCCTCACCATGATGAACATTTGCATCTCCGCCGCCTACGGCTTCTCCAACTTCTACCCGTCCATTGTGCGCGGTCTCGCCGACAGCTGGGGCTTCAGCTCCACCATTGCGCTGCTGCTGACTGCGCCGCCCTACATCTTTGCCGCTATCGGGTCGTATATCAATGCCTGGCACTCTGACAAGTAAGCACCCGCTTATCGAAGACATTTCAAGTGTGGTACTGACCTATCTCTAGGACCAAGGAACGCGGTCTGCACTATGCGATCCCCGTTCTTGTTGCTTGCACTGGCTTCATCGTGTGTCTGGCCACGTCCAGTCCCGAGGCTCGTTACGGTGCTTCCTTTATTTACGTTGGTGGCATGTATATTGCCAATCCCCTAATTATGGGTTATGTCAGCGGTAAGCACCTCTTGTCCTCGGCTCCTGAATAGTGAACTGACATTTTTGCCCTGTCCAGGCGTCCTTGGAAAGACGCCCGAGAAGCGAGCCGTGTCCGTTGCCTTGTGCAACCTGATCTCCCAGCTTGGTAGGTTGCCGCCCCCGATATCCTCAAAGAGCTTCAGTATGCTAACAGGATGATCAGGAAACTTCACTGCCCCCTACATGTTCCAGCCGTCCGAGGACCCGCGCTACATCAGCGCCTTTATCGGCATGATGTCCTTTGGCATCGCGTCGGCAGGCTGCGCCATTGGTCTCAAGTGGTGGCTCGTCAGGTCCAACAAGAAGCTCTACAAGGCGGCTGAAAGGGAGGGCACAGCCTACCCGCCTTATGTCACTTAATGCCACATCATGGAGTGGGCAGTCTGTTGAGATGTGACTGGGAAGGTGTCGCGGGGAGGCATGCTCCAGCGATCTAGAATGAAGTTGTTTGCCACGGGGCTGTGCTAGGCATTGTTATATGGTAGTAGCTTGCAGGTGGTATTAACTTTAAATATGCTGGCACCCTTGGGGGCGGGCGCTTGGTCTATGCAGAAATCCAGACAAGTTCGATAATCCCATCAATCGACTTCATAGGCTTCCCATCCTCAGTCGTCCAGCGCACGTCATCCTTCTTACGGATATACGTCTGTATTGTGACTCCATCCTCCAGATTGGCCTGAGCGTCACCAAGCTCCCAAGAGATCTTTTTTCCTGTACCTGATAAGGAAGGGCGCTGCGGGCCGTACATGTAGTCGAAGTTCCATTCCTTTTCCATCCCTTGAGGGCGGAACGTGCGCTCAACTTGATCCAGATTGAACTCCACGCCGTGCGGGTACTGGGCGATGCTGTATCCATTCGCGATGATGAAATCGTCCTCTGTGATGAATCGCTGGTACGGACAGTCCTGGCCACAGGTGTATGCGATCTTAGTGGCGTTCAGGGGGTAGGTGGTGTGCCATTTCGTCCCTCCCTTGAAATGGTGAATGCTGTAGGGACTGCGCCCCGATTCATAAAATCCCGATGCATCTCCTTTAATGTCAAACTGCCAAAGACCATGCAGCTGTGATAGCCGTATATCCGTATTGTCGTAGATACACTTTCGGAGAAGAATATCGCCCTGCGGGCCCCATCCAGAGTTGGACTGCCGAATCTTGGCCCGTGTCTTGCATGTCTCGTGCACTGTCGAGAGCACCTGGGCGAGGGGGCGACTGATGAATACGCCGGCGCCACCAAATGCCTGGGATCCATGTGTCTTGACGGCGCTGGCATCCTCAGAGAGACTCCCGATGTAGAATAGCTTCTCGTGGTCGTATTGCTTGAACCGTTCGACAAGACTATGCGCGGATGGGAAGAAGGTGTCGTCGTCACACAGAACGAGCCATTTCCTGTTGACCGAGTCCGGGTGGAAGTAGAGCATGGGCACTAGATCGAGATATCGCACGGCCATTTCTTTGTGTAGCCGGCTGTCGAGCGCGCTGACCTGGGCATCAACGCCAGCTTCGGCCAATCGCTGCGCGGCATCCGTGAGCTCTGGATCCGAGGCATCGATGAGTCGAAGGAGAAGTTTGCCTCCGTTGGACTGTCCAAGACCATTGGTCAACCAGAAAGCCCACTCATCGACAATGAGAGGGTCTCTCATGCGTTTGACATTGGTAGAGATGGCGAAGATGAAGTCGGAGAGATCGGCATCAGCCGGGGAGGGGGACTGGGTCACGGCGATCTCCAATGGCTCTGGACACGTCTGCTCGTGCTGCATATTTTTTGTCAAGTCGAGCACTTGGAGTCCCTGCCCTTCGTCGTCTTCGGGGAGGAATCGCTGCGGTAGGAAAGTGCGCGATTGTCGCTCGATAGGCTCACGGGTGATGCGGACATAGCGCTTCAGGTACTCGACCTCGTCGTCAAGCTTGAATCTGTCTCTGATCTTGGCGAGTCGGTCAACGTCGGCGCCACAATTCATGACATGACTCGATGAAGCGACTGGGTCGGTGGTTTTGTGGTCGTCGGGGGAGACTGGTTTCAGAATAGGATGTCCCAGTTCGGTTGTGTTCAGAACCAGGTCTGTGGTGTAAGGTCGCAGGGAGGGCAGGTTGAGGTAGGCAATAAAAAGAACAAGTGCAAGAATGAGAAGCTTAAAGACCCTCGCGACTGGGTGTGGTATGATGCTGGAAGCGCGTTGCACCATGGGCGCGAGCCCATCCCTGAGATCGATGCCGAGTGGCTGGCCTCCGATGTGGGATGTAACCCGCGAGTAGAGTCTCTCGAGTCGGCCTTGCTGGGGCATTGTCATAGTGAATTAGTGATGCACGCAGCTACTGCGGTGTGAGGGAAACAGCAGATGAAGTGTCTCGCGACCAGTGTATTCAAAAGATGAAACTGATTGAATTGTGACTAATCACGTGATTAGTTAAAATTAAATCAAGCTAATAAATAAATCTTAGTTAATTTAGAAACTAAAAATCAGGGTAATTAAATTAATTAAATTAATAATTAAATTATAATTAAATTATAATAAAAATATATTATAATATTTCTTATTAAATTTTTTTATTAAATAATATATATAAAATAAATTTATATTAATTTTTAATAAATTATTATTATAATTTAAAATAATATTTTTATAATTGATTAAATTAATATAATTAATATAATTATTAAAAACTTTATTAATTATTTAATATAATTAATAAATAAATAAATAAATAAATAAATAAATAAATAAATAAATAAATAAATAAATAAATAAATAAATAAATAAATAAATAAATAAATAAATAAATAAATA